AGAGGGACGAAGCACCGTTTTGGTGGCCGGCGTGCAGCCTGCAGGTGGAGGGAAAGCGCGGGGTGTCGGAGGGAAAAAGAAGAGTCCGTCTGGACCGGGTCCAAATGCGTGTGGGACCCGACCCATCGTAGCGGAGCTCAGCATCCACCGGGTCCACCAGCGCGTCGCCGTCGTCAGCAAGTCTGTCGACATGGGTCCTGCCTGCCGTGCCTGCCGGGCCTGCCGCCGCCCCAAAACCAGAGAGCCTCTCGCGGCGCGGAGCGGAGCGCTCTTTGCGTTGTAATTAACCGACCCGGGTGGAGTGCGTTGGAATGTGGTATGCGATGGCAGTGCATCAGTGCGTCGCCCACTACACCATTGCGGCCATTGCCCATTGACAGCCGAAATAGCTTCGCGCGACTCTCCGCCCGGGGTGCTGGACTTGTTGGACTCGCTGCGAGGCCCCGGCACTGCCACTGCCTCACTGCTTCAGTCGGATTCACTTGAAGCTTCCAGACGCCTTCTCAAATGACATGCTTGGTTTTAAAGAGTTTTTTTGGGCGCTGAGTTCATTGCGAAATTCGTCTGGCAACGTTACAGAATTGCGAAAAGCCTACGAATTTCGATCCGAATGCCGCTTGAACAGCTCGTTGCGTGTCGGAGGTTGGGACAGCTCGCCGACGACACGGCACGGCCTGGCTGGACTGCGCTTTTTGACGCGGGTCTGGCGATGGCCGCTTGCTGGCCGCCTGGCTGCCTGCCCGGCGGACGAGGGCCGTGATGGGGGAATCGAGCCGTACGGATTGACCCGTGCTGTCGTGCTGAAGGGCCATCCCCGCCGCCCCGCCGCCCCGCCGCCCCGCCGCTCGTTTTACGTCTATTTCGAGAGGCGGATGAAATGATGGGACGTTGGCCAGGGGTCGGCGCGGCGCGGCGCGGCTCGGCTCTGCTCACTCTGCTGGACCGGATGGGACCGGGCCTGGCCAATGCTGCGCACCGATTGCTCCAGGGTGTCACCAGACCGGCCGCACCAGCCAGGCCAGCCAGGCCGAAAAGGCGGCAAGGGATCAACCCGCGGCGAATTCGAGTTCCTTGGAGTGGGTGCGATCGGGTCGCCACCCCGTGTCCCCCTTCGGAGAAGTGGCTTGGAGCTGCGCTCATCCGAGGTACGCCGCTGGACTGCTGTCGGCGGAGGGTGTCCTTGGACTGACGCAGTGGCCGCTGAAAGTGAGCCCAATCCACCATTTCTACCCATTCATCGCCGTTTCGCCCAACTTTGAGGCGATACTGCTCACAACGTAGACCGGCGGGGGAATGTTGGCCCGGGGTCAGGGATGCGCTCGCCGCCGACCTTGTGGCCTGCGTCGTCTGCTGCGCGTCGACAGCCCGACAGCGACAGTCAGGTGCGGTGCATCGCGGCTCTGCCTTGGCTCTGCCGGGCCCTGCTCCCCACCCCGCACATGGCTACTATTTTGGTCTGGCCGTGCGGCGTGCGGCGCAGTGCGGCGTTCGGCTCGCGCCCCGCCGTCTGCGCTGCAGTTGACGCCGCGCCGCAAGCACGCCGCGCACGCCATGAGCTTGCTGTGCGCGTGCCGGGGCGACCGCGCCGCGTCGCTCGAGCCCCTGCCGCCGCCGCCCACCGGCTCCACGGGGTCCTTGTCGTACCTGCGGTCGCCGCCGCTGCGTCGGAAGTTCCCCGGCGACGTCGTGGAGGGTCTGGCCGCCGCGACGACGGAGTCGTCCACCACCGTGGCGTCCGAGTCCAGCCGGTCCGAGCAGGGCTCGTTCTGGTTCGGCATGTCGTCCGAGGCGTGCCTGTACCCCGACGCGGAGGCCGCCAACTCCGGTGGCACGGCGTGGCGCCGCAGGTCCGGCCTGTCCTGGAGCAAGCGCACCCAGTCCGAGTGCGCCGCGCTGGCCAGCGAGAGGGACGCCCCGCGCGACGGCGACCCCCTGCCGTGGTCCTGCAGGTCCACCGTGTCGCTGGCGGACCCGCTGCGTCCTGGGCCCGGCCCGGGCGGGGGCGGCCGCCGGCCGGGAGAGGTTATTCGTCCTGCCGCCTCCGTGTCTGCGGCGACCGCCACCGCCACCGCCCGGGCGGTCCGACGGGGCGTCCAGCGGAGCCTGTCCGTCAGCAGGGAGTCCGTCGACCCGGAGACGGGCGGCAGCCTGGCCACGGCGACGGCGGGCGACCGCGACGCCGCGCAGCCACGCGGCCACAAACGGCCGGGAGCGCTCAAGACCATGCTGTGCTGGCTCTGACGGCGCGCCGGGCTGGCGCGGCCGCGATCGCCTGCAAGGTAGGCAGGCCCGCCGCGCCGCGCCGCGCTGCAGAGCTGCCTACCCCGGACTCCGCGGGCGCTCGACGCGCTGCTCTGTGAGTGACGCCGTCCTCCTCGACCACGGCCACCACCGGCTGGCCCACGCTGGCGGGGCCGACGGCAGGGCCAGGGCCGCGGCAGTGACAGACAAGCCGACGGGGAGCCTCGCCAGCCTCGCCCACGTGGTCCTCCGTGGCCACGGGGGCCCGGAGAGGGGCGTCGTCGGCGTGGCCCCTCCAGGCGTCTCCCAAGACCAGTCCACTCATCCGGGGCCCCCCGCCGCCCCGCGCGTCTCGCAGCCTCCGCGCCCACACGGCCAAACGCCCGGTGTAGTGAGTACGTACTTAGCGCTGCCGCCTCCCCCCGGCGGCCCGGGTTCGAGTACCGGTCGCGGCGCGCCATATCTTGTTTTTACCTCCCGAGCCTGCCTGGCGAGTTTTTGATAGTGCAGGGCCAAGTAAGGCCGCGGCTCGCCGCTCGGCGCGGACGGCACGGCGGGACGGACCGCGAGGCGGAGGCTATTTATAGAGTGAGAAATACGGCAGGTGCGATGCAGACAGAGAGAGACACACAGAGTGAGATGAGCTTTACCGGCCGCACTGCGCAGTGCCGCAGCGCCGCGCCGTCCCCAAAGGGCGCGCCACCGCCCGCCTAATTGCAATTTTGGGTGTGCGTGTGTGTGAGTGTGGCGCGTCGCGCGTCGTGTGTGTGTGTGTGAGTTGAGGTTCTTTCGGCAATACAGCAAAACGAGGGCTTTGTATCCGCGAGGCGCCAGCTGGTGGCGTACAGAGAGGCGACAGTTGACGGCCGCAGCCGAGTGGACACACACACACACACACACACACACACACACACACACACAGCAGTGTAGCGGCGCATTCTGCCCGCTGCGCTGCGACACGCGACGCCGTGGCGGGAAACGACGCGAGGGAAATTTGCGGGGCGCCAACCTAACAAACGAGGCGCTTTATAGGTGGGCTGCAGTGTTGCCAACACGAGCCATAAATCACAAAGTGCGCCGCGCTGCGCTGGGCCGCGGGCCCTGCGAGGGAATGCCTCATCGTACCGCTGCGTTCCACTGTCGTGTCGCGGCGTGTTGGTACGACTGCGCGACGCGCCCCCCCACCCCCACTCCGCCACGCCCTGCACGCCCTGCACGCCGTGCCCTGTTCTGCACGGTCTGCGTGATTTCATCTCTCTCCCCAAAGTAGAGAGAGAGGGAGAGAGAGGACTTTGATCTCCTATCTGCCGGAGAGTGCACTCTATGGACTCGCCGAAACGCAGCGGCAGAGTGCGTCGTCCCTTTTTCTGGTGCGTTTCGGTGCCGAAAGAAGTGGCTTCGTCGATGGGTTGCCCCGTGGCCATGGCACCGTTAAAAATACCTGCTGGGGCACTGTTTATAAAGCACGTGACCGATTTTAGGAGGAGAGGCAGGGGAGGAGCTCGTTCACTCCTCTTACGCGCAATGCTTGGGGAGGTAAGGTTATCCACGCCACAAAGTAAGTTCACCGGCGTGGAAGGGCGGCCCTCCGCCACCGCTCGCGGCCAAACGCCTCCAAGGCCCCCAAGGCGGGCCAAGGCGGGCCCTTGTTGCCGCACTCCAGCGCGTGCTCATCTATGTCCCGCGCGCTGAGGAGGGCGAGGAGGACGAGAGGGAGGAGGAGGACGACGAGGACGAGGAGGACGTGGAGGACGAGGAGGACGTGGAGGACGAGGAGGACGAGGAGGACGAGGAGGACGTGGAGCGAGGCGTCGGGAGGACGTGGAGGACGCGGGGACGTTTGGTAAGACGTGGAAGACGAGAGGACGTGTGGAACTGAGACGGACGGAGGCGTGGTGGACGAGGGGACGGGGGAGGGCAGGTCAGAGGAGATGACGGCGGACGTCCCGGAGGACGGTGAAGAATTCGTGGGGACGGGAAGACGGGAGGACGGGTGGCAGGTTTGACAGGAGGCCGAGCCGGTAGCGCGGAGGGGCCGGGGGGGACGGCGAACGCCCCGAGCTTAGGAGCACGTTGCTCCGATCCGTCGACGTATCGTTGACTCCCAGACAGAGCCAACGGTGAGAAAACTCCGGGCGGCCTGCGGCCGGGGGAGGGGGGGCGGAGGTATGAGGGAGCAAAGTCCCTGGCAGGGCTGCCACCTCGCGCCCCGGTTGCGCCCTTGCCCGACCGCCACGACTGTCCACGGTGCATAGATGCACGGGCCGAACGCTACCGAAGCCAGGAGGGTCGTGCGGGCCGGTCCTTCGCTAGGAGCCGAGGCCTTGTCGTGCGCGGCCGAGGCCCACAGGTGGACCGTCATACGCCCGTGAGCAGCAGGCTCCAGCCCGAGGCTCCGCGCCGCGATCCGCCCGATCGATCATACAAGCTGTGCCACAGGGCTGGCAGCCGCAGCCATGCCGCCAGAAGAACCGGCCAGGGGCCGCGCCTTTGAGCTCCAAAGTGCTTATCGGCCGAGCCGCAGGGGCCCAAGCTCAGAGCCTAATCATGCACGTAGGGTAACAGTCAAAAATCACGAGTCCCATGGAGAGGCTCCACACTCGCGGCCCCGATTCAACACTTTGCCATTTTTGCGGCCCGCCGCCAAACACAGCGGCCAAAGCGCTGCGATCGGAGCATGAAAAGTGGGCTTACCAGATGAACCGTGAGGATGCCTTGCGCACTATTGGAGTTCCTCCTAACCGAGCCTGTCGTTGCAGCGGCCGAGTTGGCCCACAGCGTCCAGGATGCCTTCGTCATCGCCGTGGAGCAGCAGGCTCGCGAGCGCCTGGAGAGGCTCTCGCAGCTCAAGCGGATCAAGCCCGTGGATATGAACAAGCTGTGCGATCAGGTGGGTTGCTGGCTGGGCGCCGCCAGGCCGCCAGAAGACCGGCGCAGGCGGCCAAAGACGCCGCGATTTGAGCTCCAAAGTCGCTAAACAGGACTCGAACCGAGCAAGGAACCGAGCGTGTGACCCCATCAATGGATTCCTCGTTTGGAGAGCTATCCATTGGCGGGGTCACACGATCGATTCGAGTCCCATTTAGCGACTCTGGAGGACAAAGCGCGTCTAGAGTTTTGGCCGCCTGCGCCGGTCTTCCGGCCCACTGTGGGCCGTTAGGCAGGCTGCGGTGTGGCGGCAGGGGGTGCTCGGGGTGCAGCGGGTGCAGCATCGGCCTGATTGGCGTCTTTGTGCGCGGCGCCGCGGCGCTGACTCGGGACCCCGCGGTGGCGCGCTGCGTCGCGCTGCGTTGCATGGTGTGCATGCCGCATTGTATGGGCGCCGCGGCGCCGCGCGGAGTGCTGCAGAGCCATGCGGCGGCCCCTCGGGCGGCCCGGTGCCGAACGGGCTCTGTCTCTCTCGCGTCCTCACGGGACGCCCCGCTCGGCCCCGCGAGTGCGAGAGAGGCAGTGCTCGGCCTATCGGCAGGCTCGGGCCATCCGGCAGCCTTTTGTCAAGCCCACGACAACGCCTCCATCACGAGCTCCATCACGAGCCAGCCGCATTCAGTGAGATGGGCTTCCACTCCCGCCGCGGCGCACGCTCGCGGATGCGCATTTTAGCTTGACACTCACTTTTTCCGCGATCGCCAAGAAAACTGTGTGCGCGAGAGAATATATGCGTGTGTGTGTGTGTGTGTGTGTGTATACGCGCCGTTGCCATTGGCATTGGCTTATTAAAGGTGTGGCCCGTGGTCCTGCCGCGTGGCACATGACGTATGAATCATTCCGTTCCTTGATTGCGTATACCGTGCCGTGTCTGCCACCTCCCCCTTTCCCTGCACACACACTCACACGTACACACGGCGGCAAAACCGTGCGAAACCCTCCCGATGAATGTGGTGACCCTTGAAATTGGGGAGACCGCGAGGTCCCCTGCACCCGCCGAGTTCCCCTCCCGCTCCCCCTTCCACCCCCTCGCCGCCCGGGACCCGCGCGTCGCCGCGTCGCGTCGTCGAGTGGAGCGGCCAGGGCAATACATGGCGAAGCAGCAGGGCAAAGCGGGGCGAAGCGACACGAGTTTGGCGCCGCACCGGACCGGTAATCGAACCCGGGTGACGCCCCACACCAGTAAATACTGTGCGCCGCCCCGTCGGAGGGTGCGTGTGTGTGTGTGGTGTGTGTGTGTGTGTGTGTGTGTGTGTGTGTGTGTGTGTGTGTGTGTGTGTGTGTGTGTGTGTGTGTGTGTGTGTGTGTGTGTGTGTGCGGGTACGGTGAGCTCGCCCCGCCTACATCGGACAGCAGTGCCACCCGCTCGCTCTGCAATCATTGCCAGCTTGTACATCGGCCCGGGGGCTTTACTTGCTTGCTTGTGTGTGTGTGCGTGTCGTTCTGAATGAATGTCTGTCTGTCGAGGAAGGAAGAAAGAACGTCATGTGTTCCGCCTGCTAAGCTGCTACTTTCCGGGCCGAACATACACCCCGTGTTTGAACGTGTTCGTTGCCGCGCGTAGCTTTGCGCCGCTCTCGTCGACGCTTTCGTCACTTCCTCCTCTCTCGTTTTGAGTCCGTTTGTTTGCAAGGCGAGAGCGGACCGGACACCCATCGGCCGACTCGCTGCATTTGTGTGTGTGTGTGTGTGTGTGTGTGTGTGTGTGTGTGTGTGTGTGTGTGTGTGTGTGTGTGTGTGTGTGTGTGTGTGTGTGTTTGGGTGGGCTAGAGACAGACAGACAGACAGACAGACAGACAGACAGACAGACAGACATGCTGGCAGGCAGGCTAGAGCGGCTGCTTCAAGCCACCGCCTCTAGCGCGGCTAGCGCCCGACGGGTAGGCCGTGGAGCGCTGCCGGCGGACGCGCGCGTCGAAGGGGCTGCCTGCCCTCCGGGCGCTCTCCAGCCAAGTGTAGAGTCCTAGAGTGGGAGAGAAGAGTCAATTGCGAAAACGCTACGCGCACTTTGCCATACTCGTCATTTCCGGACCGCTGCGCCGGTTTCCGTTTTCCGGAATTCAAACACCATTATGGCGAAAAGACGTACCTTCGCAACTCGCTAATGTCACACGACAGGCCAACGACCCGAAAGTAAACAATATTTCGTTTGCCTGGGGTTGCTCCGAGTGAAAGGCGGAAAAGACGGACCGGAAACAAGACCAGCGGCGAAAATGCTAAAGGGGGTAGGGCCGCTTCCCCCTGTCAGCGCGGCGCGGACAGGCCGGGGACGTTTCCCCGCCCCCACTCCTGCGGGCGCTCTCCAGCCAAGTGTAGTGGACGAAGTGCGAGGTGGGTGGCAGCGCCACGTGACTGATGCATCGCGCGCGGGGCACCTCCTCGCGGTGTTATTATTCATTCATTACTGCCGATGCGAGTGTATCTGTGTGTGTGCGTGTTTCGTGTACGCGGCCCGGGCGGGAGATTAATCGTCACCACATATCGTGACCCCGCCACCCCGCATCCACCCCCGTGATGAAGCGCGAGGACATCTTCCCCGAGTTTGGAACACGACGAGTTTGTGTGTGTGTGTGTGTGCGTGTGTGTGCGTGTCGCGCCAACAGCTGCCGCTGTGCGGTAGGGCGGTAGGTTTGTGACGCGGAAGCTAATGGTGTCTCTTTGTCTGCCCCGAGCGAGATAGCGAGACAGCTAGACAGCGAGACTGCCTGTCTAGTCTCACTTGACCCCGTCCCACGGCTGCTCTGTTCGGCCCCGGGATTCGCCGGAATCCGCCCGCGCCGGACTGGAGGAGGGAGGGGAGGGGAGGGGAGGGGAGGGGGATTTCGGTTCATCGAAGCACGGCCGAAAGGGAGTGGGGGAGGAGGGGTTGGGGTCGGCTGCTCCGCTGCTCCGCTGCCCCACGACGCTTGAAGGGGGCTACATAGTTGACTCTGTCAGGAAATCCGCTGATCCAAGCCGCAGAAATACTTCCAGTGAAATGGGGGCGGGGAGGGGGAGGGGGTGCTGCACTGGCTGCGGCGGGCTGCTGCCGGGCCCTGCTGCCTCGGCGCCCGACTCTTCGGGGAGCACGCCAAGGCCCTCCATCTCGTTGATGACCTTGAGGAGGGGGAGGGGGTAGTAAAAATGCTGGCGGTGGAAATGGTGTGAGTGGAAATCAAGAGAGGCCGCCTTGATGGCGTGCCTGGGGCGTTCCCGGGGCGTTCCCGGGGCGCTCCCGGAGCGCACCGCGGGCGTTCCTCGCGAGGTGCGTCCTGACGGTGGCGTCGCGGTCCGACCCGCCCCCGCGGGGGCCGCGCCGTCAGACTGCCGCTCGCTTCCGCATTCCCGCCTCGAATCCGGGGAGGGAAATAGGAAAGAGCGTGTCCTGCGGCCCGAATCGCTCTGTCTCTCATGGACCGTTCCTTGGCGGTGCGAGAGAGACAGAGCGACAAACGCGGGACCTGCCTGCCGATCACCACTCGGCGAAAGGGCGAAGGTGTGCGGAGGGAGCTCCAGCCCAGCCCCTGAAGGCCGTGGCGCTCTGGACGCCTGTCGCCAGGCCGCCACCAACCCGACCGCCGGAGGGCTCTCTAGGGCGGGGAAGGACGGGGCTCGCGGCCCCGCTGCGGCGCGGCAACTCGTCAAGGGAGGCGCGGTGTTGTCCCACAGGCTCAATTATTTACAAGGGTTGCAGCGCTCTGGCGCTGATTTTGTTTTGTTTTACGCGCACGTGTGTGTGTGTGTGTGTGTGTTTTAGTCGGTGGGGGAAAGGGTAGGGATGCTTGCTGTGGAGCCCTCTCGGCTGCAGTCCGCTTGATTAGCTGCATTACGTCGTCCTCGCCCTTCGCCTGGCTTCGCTAGCCTCGCTAGCCTCGCTACAGTGCTGTGCCTGTCGAGGGTCCTTGGAGGCTGCTCCGCGATGCTCGTTGGAGTGCGCCCGCGAAAGGCGCACCGGTGCGGTGAAGAGCGCAAAGCGCGGTCTCTTTTACCGAAACCCCGTATGGCCGCGTGGGCTGCGGCAGTGCTTTCTGACCCCGTGGCCGCGGGTTCGAATCTCCCCATCGGCAACCTATTTTGTTTTGTCCTTGCTGCTATTTACTTACCATGTTGTGTGCTGGACGTTAAACATGTGTGCAACTTGGTCTTTTGCAGGTGTTTTATGGACGATTTACCATCGACGGGAACAGGGTGCACCTGTCCGAGAGACTGTCGGTACGTAGTGGCTGCACGGCGCGGACATCCGGGCTCTCCAAGAGACAGACAGAGAACTTTGCCAAGTTTTGTTACATGTTTTTGAAGGCGTCTCCAGAATCATTCTCGTCTCAACTCCATTTTGGAGCTCGTTTTTCCGTATTGCCGGAAGGCAACTTAGGGTCTCTGGCCTGAGGCAATGCCCCTGGAATTTAATGACAGGCAACAAAGCCGTAGTTTTTCTCGTTCTCGCCAGATAGTCTCCTTGCTCTGTCTGTTTGGAAGCCTCGCCTCCCTTCCCCTCTCCCATTCTCGCCCTGGTGGTGGCTTTACAGTGTCCGCTATTATTTTCAATTTCACTGTGTGTTAAATTAGTAATTTGTGGATGTTTTTGTTTAAATCTTTGAATACCTCTATCTCTACCTATCTACATCTATCTATACCTGTTCCTATATCCGCTTCGTCTCCATAAATCAAAATTGGTCCTTAACGTCTCGTGCTCAGAAATTGGCTTGTAAATCCGACGGCTTTAAATAAATTATAAGCGAAAGTGCTCTTAACAATTGGGTTGAAATTCTCACTTCAAAAAGACACCCCAAAAGCCCGAAAACGAAAAACACCCCGTGTCGCCGCTACGTTCCTATGGTATCTTTGCATAAAATTATTTTGTTAGTACTCTGTTAGTACTCTGTTAGTGATTAACTGTGCGAAATATTATTTTACGTGACACAGTACCTAAAACTTACGTGCTCTATGTTCCTGAATGTGCCTCAGCTTGCTGCTGAAAAGGTGCTTACGTAAAACGCGACTAACTATTCCAGTGTAGTAGACTGCTACAGTGTAGCTAAAATTTCGTTAAATCAAAGGTCTCGCCGTGTCATTGACTTGCATGCGTGGTCATGACCATAATTGTGTTTATGTATCTACTCAATATCTCAATGGGAGTAAAATTCATATTGATTCAATTTCGTAATGATTTTTTAAATGTTGCTAATTTGTGCATGCTATTTTAATGTAGTAGATATAGGCTCAGTACTTTTACATTATTACAGGGTCGAGATATTGGCGGCAGGAACTTCAGCTTCACCTTATTTGCGACGACTTTGTGCATTATTCCTTCAAGAAAATGGGAACACGGAGAGTAATCGATCACTTTCTTTCCGTTTACAGAGACCAGGATCACCCAGCAGACCCGGACCGTCGAGAGTAAGTATTCGCACGATTCACAGTGTACGCCCTGTAGACAGAGAATGCTTGGGGCGAGGTGGCGGCCGAGGGGAGGGGGCGGTGGTCATGATGAAGTAGCTGCTCGTTGTTGAGACAGAATAGTGTCGAAAAGAGCAAAGTTATGGACGGCTCGTTCAAGAAGGGGAACCGGCAAATTTTTTACGAGGGTGGAAATGAAAGCAATTTTCCGCGGCTGGTTGAGGGTTGAGGGGTAGAACCGGGGGAGAGGAGGGGGGGGGGGGGTCAGAGCATTTGTTGCCGGAGCGTTCTTGTCACATTATTCATCGCGTGGCTCGGGCGAGGGGCGCTTAGGGGGGGGGCAGCGCGGCGTGTTCGAACGTTTTGTCGGCGAGTTTAGAAAACGCGTAAAACGTGCAAAAAGAATGAGGGAGGTAGAGTGAGTGGCGGTGCGTGGGGGAGGGTGGGGATGGACCACGATTTGCACAGCATGCAAATTAGAGAGCCTTTGGTGCGCTCTCTACAGACAACACTCCCCGGGCCGAGGTAGACTCACACATTCACACACATAGTGGCACAGGGCGCTGCAGGCATATTATAGTGCGCAGGCAGAAACGTCTTCAAACAAGGCGCGGAGCTATGGTACATTGTAGTGAGGTGAAGTGGGTAAAAACTCGGGATCAAGAAGCGCGAGGTTTTTCAAAAGGGCAGAGTCCAGGGGTGCTGGACTTTGGAGTAGGGTGGGCGGAGGGGTCGAGTCGAGACATCTGCGGTATTTCGCATAGTCGCCTGCGGGGGCTGCGGGGGCTGCGGGGGCTGCGGGGGCGTGGAGGGACTGGCGTCCAGTCAGTCTGGAGTCAGTGAGACGGCCGCCCCAGCCGGCCCGAACCGGAGACATGGGGACATCGATACTGTGGCGAGGCGGGGCGGGGTGGGGCGTCGGAATCTTCCTGGAAGGTGGAACGCACCCTCGTGCCCACCACCACAGTGGCATAGCGTACAGGGAGCGCCACAGGATGCTGAGAATGCGCTTGGCGCCGTCTGGGCCAGACCGCCTGGGCGGGGCGGGGCGGGTCAGGACAGTCGGGAAGTGATTTGCATTTCCACGTCAGGCTCCGCGGGGACTACGATCACCACCGGTCGCAGGTGCACGGCTTGGAAGGCGGTGCGATTCGCCTCGGGGCGTCGAAGTCGAAGGCGCAAACCTTCTCAGGGGTTGTTGATACAGTGCATTCCGTGCATTCCAAGCAGTGGCCGCCTCCCTCGCCTGCACGGCCTGCACGGCCTGCACGCAGCCTGGCCGGCCTGGTCGCACAGGGGTCTCCTTGTGTTGCAATGCACATAACCTGGCCGTGCGTGTGCTGGGTACACAAGCGGGTACACTGCCGGGCTTTGCCGAGACACGTCGCCGTCGCCGCCCTTGGCGTGCCTCCGAGCCGCCGCGCTAGCCGCACCTTGACACGGCCAACGTCGCTCTGCCTCTCTCGCTCCTTCGCCGGACGCGCCGTGAGTGCGAGAGAGGCAGAGCGACTGACGCGCTGCTTGGAGTCAGACAGCGCACCTCGGCCTGCTCGGCCTGCTTGGCTTGATACGGGAAGGTGCCCCACTTTTTGCCCGGGAAGTCCCTGCAATTGCTCGGCTCGACTTGCTCATGGCTTGCGCGACGCGGCGCGACGTTTGCCTTCGCCTCGGCACCGCGCGGTCGTCGCTGTGGCGGCCACCACCTGGCGGCTCGTCGGCTGCTTGATGAGTGCTCGTGAGGGAAAGGGCCTTGTTGGCGTCGGGCCGGGGCATGGCCGGGACCGGGGGGTTCGAACACAACCCGCCTGGGGCTGCGGCGGCTGTGTCACCGGCGCGGCTTGCCAAGCACTTTGGCTCGGGTCGCCCGGCTGACCGAAAAAGTCCTGGCGGCGATGACTTGACCCGCCCAAGTTGGTGCACCTGATGCCGCACTGTCCTTCCACGCCCCCAGGGCCCCGAAGGGCGACTGTTTGCTCGGACTTTCTTGTGTTTGACTACACCACCCGCGCCGCACTCGGGGTACGGTAAAAAGCGAAAAGGACCGGCGGCGGTGTTGGGCGTCGCGGCGTCGCGCGGTCCTCGCAGTGATTTGATCGTGTGTCCTCCCCTTTTTTGTGCGCAGGAGTCGAGCCAGTCGAAGGAGCAGTGGAACGGAATCATCGACCACAAGTCCGTGTTCGTGACGTCTCTTGGTCCGGCAGGCCCGGCGAGCAGCGCGGCACCGCCGACCTCAGGGTGAGTGTTTTGCGTGGTGGAACGCGCGAACGCGACGTGCGACTGCCAGTCCGTCTCATTTCGGCATTTTCGTCTTCCCCGCCAGGAGCGCGGACCCTTCCGCCTCCGGGAAGCCCTCCAGCGCCGGCGCGGCGTCGCAGCAGCACGCCCCACGCCTCACCAACGGCCACGGGGCGCCGTCGGGCACCTCGACGACAGGCGCGGAGTCCGGCTCCGGCCTGGGGGCCTCGTTCGAGGAGGTCGAGTTGAAGCAGGACTTGGACGCGGACGACGGCGGCAGCCCCACCAACGCGGCCAGTGCCACCGGGGCGTCCGGGGCCAGCCCCGAGCTCCACCAACAACGGCAGAACGCGCAGCAGCCGACGCGGTCGCTGCAGGACCGGAGGGCGTCGTCGCCCTTCACCAACGGCCGCACCGAGCTGCTCATCCCTGCCAACACCGCCGGCAGCTTGGACCAGGACGGCCATGGTCACCGCATGAGGACCACGGCGCTCGTCGAGCCCGGCGCCGACGAAGCGTGGTCGGTGAGGTGAGTACACTGACAATCGCAGTGACGGCGTCGCTCTTTTCGGTCTGGACGAACCGAAGGTCGGTCTGGACCCGTGGGAATGTGGCAGGCTGCCCCCGCTGCCCCCAATGCCCCCGCCAGCGGTGTGCCCGCGGCACCGGGCGTGCGGTAATGGAGCCAGGACAGTCAGAGAGATCTGTTGGAGTCAATCTTCGGCGCTCATACTTCCAGCAACCACGGCACACGGCACGGCAAGGGAATCGCGCCCGAAAGAAATGGCCCCAAATGCGAGATAATTAAAAGTCAAATAAGACGGCGGGGGCCTCGGGGGAGAGGGGGGTTGGGGGCTGGACCGATCAATCACCACACGCTCGGCCGCGCGTGACCCCCGATGACCTCCAGGACGCCGGCCAGTGCGGTCAGCGCGGCCAGGACAAGGCGCTGTTCACTTTCCTCCACCTTCGCAGTTTGCATGGTTTGAACGGCTCGCTGTGGAGACGCGGTGAGGACGGAGTGCAGCGCGTCACGGCGTCTGGGCCGAGGAGACGAGGAGACGAGCAGGACGAGACGCTGCGGTCCAGCTCCAGTCCACGACGCCGGTACCCCCAGGTACCCCCGCCCCCTTCCTCGCCAGCCACGCCGTGTCTCGCCGCTCGGTTGGTATGCGTGAGCTAAGACCGGGCGGTGTTGCCGTCGTGCCGGTGTGCCGGTGTGCCCCGCCATCCAGCCATGCCGGTCATGCCGCCGTGAGAGGCTCGACGCCCCCTCCTCGTCCCCGTCACTCCACCTCCCGTTTGCAAATGATGTGGTCTGGGAGCGTGGGCGTGCCTTGGGCGTGCCTTGGGCGTGCCAGCCACACCTAGTCGGTGCACGGCCGCGGCGCGGCGGCACGGCGGCGTGGTTCCGACCGCCGCGCCATCACGCTGCCGTCAAAGTCTGGAAGAGTCGCGCCGTTTAGGTTGCGGCCTCGGCGCGGCGGTCTCGACGACGAGGACGGGGAAGGCTGCGGCAAGCGGCGGCGTCGAACAGTGAAAGTCCGGGTCCGCGGCGGTGAGGTCTGCGGCGGCACTGCAGGCATGCACTGCCAGCACTGCCTGCTCCTGCTGCTGCACGCTGCTGCATCGGCCACCGACCGTGGCGGCGAGGCGGCGTGGCGCAGCTCATTGCTCATGCGATGTTGGTCTTGCACTCCATCACTGCCATTATGAGCGCGCCACGCCCGCAGCGCGGCCGCCCCGCACCGACGGGCAGCTCTGTGCCGCCACGCAGTGCCGCGCCACTGTAGGCGCGTGCTCGCCGTGCCGCCCCCGCGTCCCTGCACCTCGTCGCCGCGTCGCCATGAGTGATCTGCCAGGCCAGGCTGCGTCCGATCAGTCTCGTGTCGCGTGAGTGCGAGAGAGACAGGGACACCCTATTGCCGCGCGCGACACGCCAAGTGCGACGCCCCCCCTCCCATGCCCCCGTGATCGACGGGCGCGCGACGAATTTGAAAATCCGCCAGCGAACATCTCCCGGCGCGGCGAATCGCAAAAAGGCGGTGGAGTGCGATATTGCAATAAGACTTGCGGCGCCGCCGTGGCGCGCCGCAGCGTGGCGTCCAAGGCTCGCGGGCCTATGTGTTATTCTTGGAAGTCTCCCGCGGCATGACGCTCATGGGAAGAGAAGAGATCCGCGTTATTGGCGCGCTGGGCCGCGCCGAGCCGAGAGCCGAGTGGAGTGGAGTGGCTCACCGCAGCGGCGCGGCGCGCGGCGCAGCCAGGAGGCTGAGCTCACACACGCCTGCCCGCCTCCTGCCTCCCTTGCCTCATGGCTCCGCCGGCTTGGCTGGCTTCGTGGCGCACCGCCACCGCCACCGCGCGGCGTGTTCATGGTTCATGGGAAGGAAACGCTCCGCATTCCACGCGCCATCGGATTGCGCGGGAGTCGAGAGTGCCTACACTGCGATATGAAAAATCGCGCTGCCAAAACCACTCTGCCCAACCGAGTGAAAGGGTTGACGCGACTGTCTCGCCTCAATTCGGCTTCCTGCTTCAAAGGTACTTACACTAGATGTAGCCGCGCGCGGCTGAAAGTTGTGGAGTCGGTATACCCGGGGAATTGTTTGGGAGGGGGGCTGGCGGCAGCTAGCGTCAGCACCCACGCGCCAGTCGTACTCATTGTTCTGGACAAAATCCCCCTCAGCGGCCCTCTCTCTCGCACACACGCCCCCTTTCCCCCTTCCGCCGCCCCTCTGTCTTTGTCGTGTGGTGCGCCGTGCGGTGCTTGTCATTGTTCTTGCGCGACGTCAACCCCCCACCGCCACCACCGCCACCCAGTCCCTCGTTGGTCCTAAAGCCGCCTGGCCACCCCCGCGCCACCCCCGCGCCACCCCCGCGCCACCCCCATCGTCTCTTGACTCGGTTTTCAACGACGCCGCCGACCGAGACATGCAGCTGTTCCAAGGGCGTATTGGCTGCCTTTGACGGCGTGCTCGGGGTGCTCGGCGGGGGATGAGTATGTAGCCTGCAGCCTGCAGGGCTTTACGGACGGTCCCTTTCAGGAAGCCGCGTTTCAGCCGGCCTATTTGCAGACGGCCAGCGTGGCGGAGCGTGGCGTTTGAACTCGGCGCCGCGCGACCAGCGTGACCCTGACCCTGACCTCGGCCACCTCGGCGGGCCCCAAAGTCGTTCCCACGCCACCAGTATAGTCCGATTTCGGAGGCCGTCGGCACAGTCTGATTCCGAAGCAGCGCTTCGTCGCCCTGTCTCTCTCGCACCCCGACGGGCACCCCTACGGGCCGTTCACGAGTTCGATAAACCGTTTCCGTTTGTTCGGAGACTGAGGCCGGTCGAACTGCCGGCGGGAACCCACACTGGAACATCGCTCCACTATCTGCCACTATTTTCTCCAAGCTCCTCCTGGAAGCGACGCGGTGGCGGTGCACTGGAAATCGCGTCCAGCGCGGTCCGGTCCGGTCCGGTCCGACTAGACGAGACGGGTTAGAGTCCTACAGTGCTGCAGCAGCATGGCTGCAGTCCGGATGCCGGACGCGCGCTGACCGCGCGGCCTCCTGGACCTGGAGAAGCAGGCCAGCGCGGAGGCTGCGGAGACAAAGTTGATCCGCGACGGCCGGGGGGAGGAAGGGAGGGGGCTTTATTGCGGCCCATAACGCCGTCATGAGATCCACGCCGACGTCGGCGACGTCCCGCAGTGCACAATGGCGGACAAGGCACGCGTTTCGTTTTCTTTGCAGAGTGTGTTCCACTGTTCCTCGTCGCGGCGCGGCCGTCGCGGTGGTTGCGGCCCGCTGGGCTGGGCGCACCCTTAGGGTGAGAGGCCAACGAGCGGGGCCGCTGCTACTCCACTTTGGCTGTGTTTGTGAGGTTTGTCCCGTCGTCGCGCTTGTCTCGCTTGTCTCGCCTGTCCGCATGGCGGCCGGAGAGTCGCTCTGTCTCTCTCGCGACCATACGGCACGCGTCACGAGTGCGAGGGAGACAGAGCGACGAAAACGACTCCGGTCGGCCTGGTTGGCGCGCCGCAGATTGGCGCCTTTTGACACGGCGAGCGTGGCGGCGGGGCGGCCTTCTCTCTGTCCTCTGTCCTGCAATTTCGCAGGAATGCCATAGGCGCGGCGCGGCGGGTACCACCGCGCGGGGCGGGGCGGGGCGGGGCGTCACAAAAGAAACGAGGTTCTTGTTTTATTCGTAAGTGGCCGCTGAGAGTGCGTGACGTCGACCTCACCTGGCGTCGCGACGCCGCGGCCTCCTCCCACTTGCGGCCGACGGTCCCGGATGGCCCGGATGGTCCTGGATGGCCCGGACGCGGACACGCCCCGTCGGGCTCCCCGTCTACTCCCTCCGATCCCCATCCCCCCGCCTTCCTTTATTCCCCGTTCAAGCTGCCCCCCTCTCTCGTCATGCCGCGCAGCCGCGCCCGGAAATTGGTAAATGGGGTATTACACGAATAAACCCTTGAGACAAAGGACGCCTACGAGCGCTGGCGGGGCAGGTTAGGGACGAGGGCAGACAAAAAGACGGCCGAAAAAAAAGGAAAAAGGAGCGCCACGACACTGCCGAAACCGCAAACAGCGCGGGAGAAGAGCCCCTCGCGAGGCCGTTACCCCCTCGGGCTCGGGGCGGTCGGGGCGGCACGTCGCCGTCGTCGGCCTTCCCCGCGACTCGCTCGCGACTCGCTCGCCACCGTCCGGGCGTTCATGTCACTCATTACTTACAGCGTAGAGCCCCGCGGCTCGCCGGGACGAGGGCATGCACTAGCAGAATAAAGCCCCCCTTGCAGTGTGCGCGCGGAGCTACGCGCAGCAAGCCACACAAGTGCAGCAGTGCACTGGGCTCGAGGGGTGGCCGCCCTGTGTGCGCCGCGTCTTCCACGGCGTCCTCCACACCCATCCACCTGACTGCGCCGCGCTGCGTGGCGTGCAGTGCGTCAACACTCACCCCACCCACCCCTCAGTAGGTTGATTGCGAACGAAGCGCGTGTCTCTCTCTCTCCCTCGCACTCATACGACGTTCCTTAGTGGTGCGAGAGAGACAGCAATGAGACTAGGCCAGCTCACCTGCAGCCCGACCCGACCCCTGCCCTGGAGCCCTACGAGAAGGGCTTGATCCTTATCACAAGTTCGGAGGGATTCTGGAAGGGCCGAGGGCGGCCACTCCACCGGGAGCAAATCGGCCTCCTTGATGCTGCCGGAGATTCTGTACAGTGTGCACCTGGCAGGCCAGGCAGGCCATCTCTCTCGTCTGGGGCTCTGCGAAGAAGGAGAAGCAGGCTTGCAAGGTGGCCTACCCCGCGACGACGGCGGTGCGGTGCTGCTGCTGCTGCTGCCATGCCGGCCAGGAAATTGAGAGATTAATGGAAGCCACCTCTTTCCTCTTCATTTATCCCCACCTTGCCCCCTTCCCGCCCCCTCCTCCCCCTCCCGGCCTCGGGGGGAGGATGAATAGGACGACGACGACGGTCCAAACTTATTCAGCCTCGGCGGCCCGGAGCAGCAACGACCGGAAACGCGGAGAAACGTGGCGGGCATAGTGTAGGACCCTCTGTGTTTGTGTGCCCCCCCCCTTTCCACCTCCACCTCACCGATGTAACATTACGACGCCCGTTCTCCGCCCCGTTCCCTTTCCTTCTTCATTCGAGTCGGCAGCGGCAGGCCGGCGGCGCCGCACCAAAATCGCCGTCAACAACGACCACGTCGTGCACGTAGTGCGGGCGGCGAAGTTTGCCTTTTCCTCGCAGTGCTTTGGCAGTCTCGGCGTCTCGGCGGCGCATTCCTGTCGACGCCGTCCTCGTGCTGGCCGAGCTGGCTGTGCCGGCGTCTAGACTGAAAGTGGACGCACGCCGCGGGGAAAATGTCCGCCGCGAGACGCGCCGCAAGATAGACCCAATTAATTAACTTGTTTTTTCTTCCCGTCCGGACGGACGGACGCTGCGGCGCTGCGGCCGCCTCGGCGTGCGCACGCGAGTGCCTGCCTGCCCGCCTCGCTCGTCTCGTTCGCCGTGCTCCTGGCGGCCGTTCCGCGCCGTCCCAGGACGAACCAAGGATGCGCTCGCGGAGGGCAAACCCGACGCGGCATCCAGGTGCATTGCAGCGCCAGGTGTCTATATCTGTTGGGCGCTGCGAGCGTCACGCGTCGTCGGCGTCCTCCGCGAGGGCGCGGGTGGTGCCGTGGTGGTGCCGGGGTGCCGGGCGGAGGGTCGCAGCGTCGCAGCATTTCACCGTGATTCATCGCGGCCGATATTTCGCCCGCCTCGCCTCGGCTTTGGCGTCGCTTTGGCGTCGCTTTGGCGTCGCTTCGGCGTCGCTTCGGCTCTGCACCGTCCGCCGGGCCACGCCGCCGCGAGTGACAAATTCCAGGGCGCGGCCCGCCGCCTGGAGGCACGGCCTGGAGAGCCTTGGAGCGCGGCGGGGCCGTCGTGGGGCACACCGCCGATGCCAAACCGGCGCGCCACACCTCCAAGCACCCCGTCATCCTCGTCTCCGACGCCCGGCCCACGATTACGTATACTACGCATCTCTCGGCCCGTCGGCCGTCGGCCCCCTGGGTACCCGACTCGGTGTACCTGAGGCGGGTTCTGGCGGGATGGGCTGGCGGGGAGTAGCTTAGGCACAATGCCCTTCCAGCGTCTTATTGGAGCCAACAGTGGCAACGACGCATCCCGGCACCGGCCGCCCCTCCCTCCCAGCCTCCCACTTTGAGAGTAGAGTTCCTCTGGATAGGCCTGGGCGCGGCACGGCACGGCCAGGCGGGTACCCTAGGGTACCCTCCTGGGTGCCTTCACAAGCCCCACAGCCTCGGGGCCCCGCGTCCCGGAGTCGAGGGGCACTGCAGTTGTAGCCCCCCTTCCCCCCTCCCCCACTCACGTCACCGCGATGCCGCGATGCGCCAAGCGATGGGATGCATCCTGAATGCCGATTGTCTTGTTCAAGGTGCGCGGCGCGGCGTGGCGCGGCGTGGCGGGGCTGCCTGCCCAGCCTTGCCGCACCGCACCCACTGCGCCAAACTGCGCCATTCTCCGCCGCGGTCCGTGTGTCGTTCTCCAGCAGGACACAAATGGATTTGTCGAAAACTCCGTCGGGCACACCTCTCACGCGTCGCTTCGGAGAGTAATACATATTCTCGCGCCCAACTTTCATTTCCATGCGCGCGCTGCTCGTGCTCCATTTGGTGCCCCTCCCCCCTCCACTTTCCGTGCATTACAGGCTTTCCCTGCGTGTAATTGGTTGGATCGCACCGAGCACGCGTGTGTGTGTGTGGCGGCGGGCGCCCTGCCTGCGCTGACGTCGCGCGTGTTACACTCTGTTTCCCAGTGCGGGTGCGTGCCGCGTGCGCGGGAGAGGCGCTGGTATGTAGTACAGTGTACGCGAGGGGCGTGCAGTGAGTGTGGGGCGTAGGACGAGGCGAGGCGACATACCAGGCTAAAGTGCCGCTACGCGCTGCGCGTCAAGCCGATAGCCCAAACCGTTCTGGTGCGGTGCGGGCTGCCAGCCAGCAGGATGGAGTGGATGGGCAGAGCCTTACAGGCCGTGCCTGGAGTCCTGCAGTCCTGGAGTAAGGCCTGGCCGGCCGGCCTGGAGGTCCTGCCCTGTCGGCCGGTGCAAGGACCGACCGGCCGAGCCTCTGCGCTGCTGCACCCCGCCTACCTCGTCACGCTCGGCCGCGCCGCGTCGCTGGGTTCACAGTCGGCGCCGCACAAGCTGCCCCGCGCGGCGCCGCCAGCGCCGCCGTGCCGCTGGCAAAGTTACTCCGGGCGCGCTGTGGACTCCAGGCCCGCCGCCGCCCCGCGCGCCCCTCTCCCTCGAGGAGCACGAGGAGCGGCTGGCTAGCCGGCCGCCACGCTCCGCCACGCCGCCGCTGGCCTCGCCGGCCTGGCACCGAGCCGCCGCCGCGCCGCCAGGCCGTCCCGCCGTCCCGCCGGCCAGGCAGGGCCGCCAGTCGCACTCTCGCCTCGCCCCGGCCGCACGCCGCACGCCACGCGAAGAGCGCCGTCGTGCCGAGTTTGCCTGTTTTCGTCCTGCGCCGGACCGACGGACCGACGGCCCGGCGTCGCCGCGGTGTTGTTGTTTGTTATTGTTGTTGTTGTGATGGTGCAGTGCAAGGCGGTGACGCACCCGCAGTGTGCCGCGAGTGTCACGGGATACGCCCCCCTGGATTACGCGTGTGTGTTGATCAGTGTGTGAGTGTGTCTGTGCTCCTATGCTGCACCAGCCCGACGAGTGCAGCGGCCTGCAGCCGCTCTTTGGTGCGCCCAGTGCGCCGCAAGGCCGTGGACTGCGGCGTGTGGACGCCAAGTCCCAGTGTGGCGGCGCCAAAGTTTGAATACGCCGGGAAAGTGTGCGTGACGAAAGGATAAACTGCATCCGGATACCCCACCTCCATCATGAGGCTCATCAAGATCTACTGGAACAGGTATATTTTCGGTTCGGCGCATCGCAGTTCATTTAGGTGTCGTGTAAGACCCTGCCCTGTATCATTCCGCAAAGCACATAGTATGCGGAAAACGGCAAGAAATGAGGAACTCGAGAATGCTTTTCGAGACGCGTCCTGGCAATGACCCTATCGATAGCGTAGGGTGGTCTAACCCTCGAGGAAGCCCCCCGGTGGCGGTGTACGGTGTATGCAGTAGGGGGTGGCCGACGCCGGGACTGGCAGGACTGCCAGGACGTGGCAGGGGGTGCCAAAGGGGCGCTAGGGGTGGCCCCCCCCTCTCCCCCCCCTCCCCAAGGCCGGCTCGGCCGTGCGCCGTGCACCCCGTGTTGTGGCTGAATGTTTACTACCACACCTGCAGCCCTGGCCGCCCTGGCGCCTTGGTCGATCAAAGTAAACACTCCAGCAAGTGCATATGAAATGACTTGTTTTTCACTGGAGGGAAAACACGCCTGAATAAATCCTCTCGAGAGTTTTATGGAAACATTTTGCGCGACGAATCGAAGACAATCAATCAAAATATTGTTGATGCGAGTACGAATGGTGTGTGCGCGCTCCGTATTTTTTCTCGGCAGTGTACCTCCAAGCCACACCCCAGGCCCAAAGCCGTCCGGGCAAGGTGGGGCGGGGAGGGGCAGGGGAGAGGTCCCGGAGCGCACAGGTTGCCATTCCTACCTGGCCAGGTATCTCTCCTATCTACAGTCCGCGCCAAGAGTTTCTCAGGACTGGCCGGCTTTGCGGTCGCGCTGCCCGGCGGAATCCCGACCCGTGCTGTCTCTCTCGCACTCACGGGGCGGTCCGTGGGGGTGCGAGAGAGACAGAGCGGCGAAGCCCTGCGGCCAGTCTTGCAACGGGTACGGACTGACAGTGGACACGCTCGCTGCTCGTCACTGTCGCGTTCCATTCGCCGCGGTGGTCCCGGGGAAGTCCGCCGGGCCGGGCCGCCGCCGGACTGTCCGCCGCTCCGCGCTCCGCGATCTGCGCTCCCCGGAACCGTCCGGCCGTTCCACAACAAACGCCGCCCGCCTCTCGTCCTAAAGTCGCCCGGAAAAGCCCCATAGCTTCCCTGTGGAGGCCGGGCTTCTGAACAGAGCGCGAACCGTCCAGGACCGAGTCCAGGACGCACCAGGACGTTCTTCGCGTCTGGCCGGCGACTTGCCTCGCCTGCGAATCGCAGACTTTTGGCCACGCTGCCACGTCCTTGCCAGGACACTGCCAGGACATGGCCGGCCGTGTATCAGTCCAGTCGGCGGAGTCCCCGGCGCAGTCCCCTTGTTGTGTGTAAGCCGGGAAGGTGCTCCTCGGAGTCATTCGGCCGTGCCGTCGTGCCGTCACGTCAGCCGGGGTCCTGGCTGGCAGGTCCCGCCCCCGCACCCATCCACCCGCCCCCTCCCCCGCCCCCTCTCCTTCCCGCTAATGCCCCGCCTCCAGTATTCCGGCAGCTCCGTCATGTGTGTGTGTGTGTGTGTGGGGGGGGGGGATGCTGTCGGGTCGAAGGCATCAAGTCGAAGCAAGTCTCAGGTTTTCTCTGGTCTTATTGTTCCCTTTTCTTTACGCGCCCCGCGGTCGGCCGTCGTTATACGCAGTCATGCGCAGTCCCATTCCCTTTATTCGCACGACGGCGCGTCGGGGGACGAAGTGCCTTCACCGCCAGCCCTTCACCGCGCGCGGAGCCACCGCCGTTCACCTGTGCTAATGAGTGCGTCTTTTGGCCAGCACAGGTGCGTCCGTGTCGTGGGTGCGCTGCTCGCGCTGTGCGTGCGCGTGCGTAAGAAGATGCGGGGTCGCTCGGTCACGGATGGCTCCACACCCCTGCTAGCCTTGCCGGGCCGCAGCAGGGAGGGTGGGGTGTGAATGGACGTCATGAAGGTGCCCGGCGGGGCGGCGGGGCGGGGGCGGCAGCGCGGCAGGTGTACGACGGGGCCGGTCCGTAAGCCCCAAACAAAACGACGGCCGACCCCGGCCGAACCGCGCTCCGTTTCTGTCGCCCCCGCGCGCGGCCCGTCAGCCTGCGAGGGCGCGAGAGAGACGGAGCGACAAAGCACCGGCAGGTGTGGCGAGGCCAGCGAGGCACGCCGAGGCCCCGCGGGGCTGCCGCTTGATAAGGGTGCGCTGCAGGCCGAATCCGAGGGGCCGTTTCGTCGCTGTCTGTCTCTGTCGCACTCGTCCGGCGTCTCGCAGGGGCGCGAGAGAGACGGAGCGACTGTTCGGAACAGCGCGGCCGAGTGGCTGTGCTTCGCTGTGCCACGCTGTGCTGGCATTGACGCGGCGGATGGCATTGTCGGTCCCGTTTCCCACACCGTCGTCTCCCTTTTGAAGGGCTTTTCGGCGTCGGTCGCTCGGCTGCAGTGGAAAGGAGCGGGGCCTTCTTGGTGTGCAAACGGCGCGGCGCTGCCTGGCTGCGTTACACCACTGGGAGGGTGTTGTTCGTGTCGAGGAGGGTGCCGTCGGCCGTTGCACCTGAAGGCCTCAAAGGAGTTCGGTCCGCGTCCCCGCGTTGTGGTGCCGACCTGCAGGCTTTCGAGAGTCGTTTTCGTCACTCTCTCGCTCCTACACGGCACGCCCCATGGGTGTGAGAGAAACAGAGCGACGAAAGCGACTCTGGGTGGTAGTCTGCTATGGCGGCGGTGAGAACGTCTGACTGCAGGCTTGCCAGGAAGCCTGGAAGCTGGCCTGCTCCTGGATACGGTGTTATATTCCAGGTAATACTCCTGGAGTCTCACGCGGCTCGGCGGCGGGCGCGGCGGGCCACCCTTCTGGTTCCCACCTCGCGCGCGTTCGGGAAAACGCAGCAACAACGCGAAGGCAGCGCAGCAATGCAACCGGCGCGGTGCAACGACCTGCCTGCAGGCCAAAGGGACTGCGGGGCCAAAATTGAGACGTGTGACGTCACTGCCTCGCGGCGTGCGATTCCGTTTGGACGCGGATTGTGAATGGGCTGGCGGCAGCGCGGCACCAGCCAGCGCTATGAGAGACTCTCATGAATGAAAAAGCCGGCGGCCAGCAGCACACCGGAAGCGGCGCCGGCGTCCGGCCGAGTGATCCAGCGCCGGCAACGGTACGCCGGCCGGTACGCCTCGCGGTACGCCCCGCGATGGTACGCCCCGCGATGGTACGCCCCGCGCGCCACACTGGTGGCTACGCGGAATGTGACACGCCCCCATTGTTGTGTGTCCTGGCCGTCCCGGCACGCCGGCACACCGTTCCGCCGATGGCTGCCGATGGCCTCCTCCAAGCTCGCCGAACCTGGCCGAACCGAACGGCAGTTGGTTGTTGCGGCCGAACAAGTGCCCCGCGCTGCAGAACGCTGCGCCGAACAGCATCGTGGGGGGTTGGGGTTTATTTGCCGTGAAACGTCCAGGGAGTCGAACGTCATTTCTGAATTTCTGCTGCTTCTCGCGGAGGCGTTGCCGGCGGCGTTTCGCAAGGCGCCTCAAAGACTACGGCCTCGCGGTCGATCGTTCGATCGGTGTCGCCCGACCGAAAGGACCGAAAGCCGCCTCCTTCGGCCCGGCGGCGGCCTGGCGGTGGCGGTGCGTCGCCCAGGCGAGCAGCCGACTCGAATTCCAGATTCCAGGCCGAGCCGAGCTGAGCCGCGTTCAACCCTTCCAGGCTGCCGGGCCTGGCCGGGCCGAGCGCGTTGTGAACGTGACTGGCCGTGTTTCCGTGACTCCCACCGTCGCTAACGCGATTAGAGCGCCGGCCAGCGTTTCGTCGTCCTGTCTCACTCGCACCCGCAGGGCACGCCGGGACCGGCCGGGACGCCCCGCGAGTGCGACAGAGACAGCGGCAAGGGCCCGGCGCGCCGCCGCACCGCCAGGCCACCGCCACGCAGGCCGAATTCCTCCCCGGATTACCTTCTCATGTCGCCGGCTTTTATCAGTGCAGGCACGCAGCGCGCGGGCTCGGTGCAGCGTTTGCACTTTTGGCTCGGCCTGTCCCCGCTGTAAATCTGGCCCTGCTTAGTGCCAAGGGGTGGGGGTGGCGCTCACCTGCGCCGCCCTGCAGTCCTGCGCCTCGGCCGCTTTTGTGCCTTTGTTGCACTTTGCACTAACGCTCAAAGCTGCAGTGTACCTCCTCGGGGTTGTTGTCGCGTTGTTTATGGCGCTGTCTCAAGGGAGCAAACAACAACGCAAAAAAATCGCACATAAACTTGAGGCGTAAAAAACCACGCTCAAAATTGGCGCTTGGAAAAATGATCTTTGGCGCCCACAGTGTCGCTCACAGTGCGAGGACCGCGAGGTCTGCGACGCGCGTGCTGGCGGCGGGGCGGCGGTTGCGTGGGAACGCGGCGTGGCGCGGCGTGGCCCCACAATGGCGCCGAAACGCTGATGGATGTCTTGAGTGGCACGGGTGACGTCCCCCCACCCCTCACTGGAAAACACACTGGAGGAAGAAATTGAGCCGTCCTCGTCCTGCGAGTAGAGTCTCGGCGAGGGACAGGCAAGGCAGACGGCCGGCAAAAAAGCCGAGTCGTGTAAGCGTATCGCTTCGCTTCCCGCGCGATGTCGCGACTCGGACCGAGTAATGCGTTCATCACACTGGCGGCGGACTGGTTTTTTTTTGTGGGCAGTGTAATGAGAATGCGATCTGTCGGCCGACTCGCGGTGGGGCTGCCTGGAAGCGAGTCGCTGGAAGCCTGGAAGCGTGTGCATGTCTGCGTGCGTGTTTTTCTTGGTTTTTTGTTGTTGCTGTATTTTTTTCCGCTTCGCGCGCTGATGACCTTGTCCGTCCCTGACCTGCCACCTGGAGCGCGAACAGCCGTCGTCGCCGCGACTAGCCCCACCCCCTTCTCCCCCCACCCCCACCCCCGATTTCCAGTGTCGCGCCGTCAATGCCTGGCCGGCCCAGCCGACGTGTGAACCGTCACCGGGCTGGGCTGGCGACGACGATGATTTGCAACGCGAATACCGACCGCATTGTGCTTGTCGCGGTACTTGCCCGGCCCGAGGTCCAGCCGGGGCACGCTTCACGCCTCCAAGGAATGCGTGTGCGCCCTCATTGGTGGTCATTGTCCCGCTGGCCGCGCTGCCGAATGATTGGCCAGCGCACAGCACCATTGCCGGGCCACGCGCTGCGCTTCGCGACCTCCTGCCCGCGGGACGGGACGATGGCTGGGCGTGGCCCACGCGGAGTGGAGAGTGTACTGTACCTACACCACTGGGAGCTGGGACTGTACCACACCTCTCCAACTCTCTGCTCGGTCGCTGCAGTCCGGTATAGTGGTACTACCCGGCTTTGCTTGCCCAAACCGACACGCTTCACTGCGTTTGCGTTCAGTCGCCAAGATGATTCATGTGTGTTTTCCTACTCTCCGTGGGCTGTGTGTGTGTGTGGGGGAGGGGGGGGGGCGACCTCCCTTCGAGGATGTGCAGCGTCTTTTTTGGCCCGAGTTGGGCAACTTTGTGTACGCCGCACGTACCTCTCTCCGACACAGGTGAAGGGCGACGCGAAGGACTCTTGGTGAGGTGTTTTTCCGGAGCTGGCAGTGCCCTGGCAGTGCCCTGGCAGTGCCGTGGCAGTGCTGGCACTCTCCGTTATTACAGCCCTTGGCCCTGGCCGCCCTATCCGGGCCCTTCCCTGTCACTCGGCGGCGAAGCGGTTTCACTGCGCGCCGCGATTAAGTTTTCATATGCTTGTCTTGAGGCGCCGTGCCGTGTTGTGCTGCGCGTGGTCCTACACTGGCGTAGCAGCCACGCCACCCCGCCGCCCACCTCGGCCAGTTTCTCCCACAGGACGGCGTGACAGCGGGGAGACGCTCCTTCGCCTTGGCCACGCGCTGCGCGCTGCGTTCTCCAGGATTCCCTTATTGGACGCGAGGCGAGGGGCTTTCTACTCGTCGTCCTGCTCCCATCGTGGCCTCGCCTTCGTGTGGCCGCGTCCCTTCGGGGGTTCGTGCCGTACACGGTGTAACCTACAGCGCTACACCGTAGCACTTCCCACAACTCGGATCTCTGACCGACCAGTCATCCTTGAACCCTCATCTCGTATCCCCCCGTCCGACCCCTTGCATAGCACTGGACTCCTGACCTCTCGACCCGACTCTCCCCTTCCTCCCGACCCTTTGCACCTCCGACCCCACAGTGGGCCCGAAGACCGGTGGAGGCGGTCCAAATCCCGGACGCGTTTTGGGCTCCAGAGTCGCTAAATGGGGCTGGAACCGAACGTGTGACCCCTCCAATGGATTGCTCTCCAGCTCGAAAGGCGTCTATAGAGTTTCGGCTGCCTCCACCGGTCTTTTGGCAAATCCACTGTGCGCTGCGTCCCCGCGATGCAACCGCGATGCTGGCGCGCTGGCGCCGTAATCAGCGCTGCCACGCCACTGCGTAATTGGCGCGCCATGACGCGTGACACGGGACAGGGGTCCCGGGGGCAGTGCCGTGCCGTGGGGGGTCCCGGGGGACGCGGTGCCGGTGACGCGGTGGCGGCGTCGCGGCCCGATGAGTCGAAACACACACGCCCCCCGCCCGCTCCAAGAGAGGAAGCGCGATCGTTGTTGGGACACCGCGGGACTCGTCAGCGTCGCAGCATTCCCCGCGGGGCCCCGCCCACCTCGCTCTGTCTCTCTCGCACCCCTGCGGGACCCCCGGCAGTGCGGAGGCAGCCATCTCCAGACTGAATCCGCGAGCAGCGCGAGGACTTGGACTCGTCCGCGGCCCTTTTTGGCGTCGTGGCAGTGTCGCGGCAGCGTCGGCATGCTGGCGGTTCGGCGACGCTCGGCGACGGGCGAGTCCATGAGTCACAGGTGTGCCGGCCTGGCCAGGCCGCGGCGTGCCGGCCTGGCCAGGCCGCGGCGTGCCGGACCGGGCACGGCATGTCACCACACTGGCGTGCCGCCGCGTGCCGCGCAGTCTGTTTGGCGCGGAAATGTTTGGCGAACCTGTTACGTCGAGAAGGAAAACAAGACCGTGCGGCACTGCGGCCGCGCAAGGCGGCGCACAAGGCCCGGCCTGCGTATAGTACACCTCGGCGGCGGCAGGAGCGCTGCCGTCGGGCCGTCGGCCGCGCCTTTCGCCGCCACGCCGCGGAAAGTGAAAGCTGTTAACGCCCCTCACATTTTAACCCGTCAAACCGCTCGTTAGTCTATGCCGCACACACGGCCACGCGCGCACACACACACGCTGCAGGCGCACTGTAGAGTGGCGAATCTGCTGTACCAGTGTAGCGGAATGGACGCGCTTCGTTTCCGTCGGTTTTGTTTCGCACTTCCTTTTTGGTTGAAGGCGGAGGCGAAGTGGGCGTCTTGGTCGCTCACTTGGTTCACTTGCAGGGCTGCTCGCGGGGCTGCGTTGCGTGGCGGCGTGCGTTGGTCATACGGCAGGGCAGGTGGACGAGCGAGCGTCCTGTGTGGGGGGCTTTGGCGTGCGGGGTGGCCGGCCTATCGATCAGGGCCTCCGTCACGTGCGTGTGCCTCACGCGCCTCACGCGCGCGGCCGTGCCAGCGCCGGCAGGCCGGCCGGGCGGCGTGGATTTGTTAAAGCAGGATGAGCCCCGAAATTGTTGCGTCATGAAAGGAAGAAAAGGAAACCCGGCGAGGAATGTCTTTCTTTTTTCGCTTTGCTGCCCCATTGCGTGTGTTGTCGCTGCGAAGACAATGCAGTGCAGGGCTTGGCCGTGCTTGGCCGAGGGCCCAGGGGCGGGCCCAGGGGCCGTGTGCTTCCCCAGGGGGGCGGACCAGGACCAGGAAGGCCCCGCCGTCCGCTCTGTCCCGCACCGCCCCCTCAAATATTTAACGAGAACGCGCTCGCTTTACCGTATTTTTCTTCTCTCTCCCCGGCTCGCTGGCTGGCGTGGTCGGCTCGGGGTGGCCGAGGCAGCGCCGGCCAGGCCCTCGCTCGGCCAGGCTGGCCAGGCCAGTGGCGGAGTGGCGGGGCAGTGCTCTCAAAGGAAAGGGTTGGCGTTTTATTCCGTGTCGTTTGGCGCTACTGTTGCCGCCGTGGCCGTGTCTTTGGCCCCGGGGTGTCCTTTGGTCCGCTCCGTCTCGCTCAGTTCTATGCAGACTGAGAGTCGTTTTCGTCGCCCTGTCTCCCTCGCACCTGGAGGGGGCGCCCCGTGAGTGCGAGGGAGGGTAGCACAGCGAATCGGTCTGCTGGGCGGGCCGCGGGCCGCTGGAAGCCACCTCCCTCCTGCGTCCTGGCCGCCCTGCCGTCCTGGGAAAGCAGGTGCACGCCGGCGGGCTGCTTGCTGGACCAGCTGGACTTCCCTGCAGCGCCAATTCGCAGTTCACAATCATATTTATTCTCTTGCCTTTTTTTTCGGCGGCTGGGAATGGCTTCTCGGTCGCCGGCAGCGCCGCCGGGCCGCCAGCTTTCGCGAGCGAGGAGCCTGGAGGGGAAAGCACCGCGTGGCGGGCGTTGTTGTAGCACTTGTCGGGGTGCCGCAGGGAGCGTCGCCCGCGCCGCCAGGGCCTGCAGGGCCGCTAGGGAGCGGGTGCGTCCAGCCAGGTCTAGCGCGGATGCCAAGGTGGTGGGTAAACCGCCGACGGTGTAGGCAACCTGCTTTCCCGGCGCGCGCCACGAGTCCTGCTGACCCTCACTTTTTGGGGCGGTCATGGCGGGGGAGGAGGGAGGGAGGGGGAGGGGAGGGCCCGCGGCAACTCGCGACACTTGAGTTACCGTCCAATTAGCCAGTGGCGGCAAGGCGGGGCGGGGCGGGGCGGGGCGGGGCGGGCGGGGCGGGGCGGGGCAAGTATGCAGCTGTTGCTGCTGCGCTGCGCTTCTTGCTTCTTGTGACAGTTTAGTGGGTGGGTCGCGGCGTGGTGGCGCGGCGTGGCGCCCAGTGTCGCGGAGCAGGCGGCACGCCGCGGGTCCCCCTTTTTTCCCCGGCCGCCCCGCCGTGCTCGTCCTGCATTCCGCGCGCCGTTTGAATGTTTGGCCAAGGGGGTGGGTGGTGCTGTGTACGGCGTGCAGCCCCCCTCTTCCCCCTCCTAGGTGGCGCGGGCAGCGCACGGCTCGGACCAATCTGCGAAAAGTAATTACTGTGCCAGTCGAATCCGTTGGCAATACTTACGCCGTGCCCGTGTGTGTGAGGGAGGGTGCGAGCGCTGGCGTATGTGTGCGTGGCGCCGGACCGGACGAGGCTCCCTGCTGTATGCTGTAATATCCTCTCCGTTCATGTCATTTTCGGCAGCAATATTGCTTTCCCCGCCTCGCGCCTGCGGCGAGGCTCGGCCGCTTGGCCGCTCGGCCCGCGAGGTGAATGCGCACACCCCTCCGTTGGCGGCCTAATCACCCTGCGAATGATGAATATCCAGGCGCGTTTTCGGCGACGCGTTTTGGCGGCGGTCGCTGTGTGTCGCGGTGCTCCTGACACGGTTTCCTGACTCTGTTCCTCTTCCTGTTGCAGGCCGCGCCGCAGCATCGTGGGCAGCGTGTCCGGCTCCAAGGCGGCCGAGGCGGACCTGGGCCTGAGGATGCTGGCCGGCGACGCCATCCCGCTGACGCGCGACTACCGCGCCGAGCCTCTGCAGCCGCTGCAGCCCCTGCAGCCCCTGCACCGCGAGATGGCGGTGGACGTCCCGGACTCGTTCATCGCGCGCTCCAAGACGCCGCCGCGGTACCCGCCGCCCAGGCCCGTGGTAAGTGAACCTAAGTGCAGTGCAAGTGGAAGGGGCGGCGCGACGGGGGCGACACTGGGGCGCGATTTGGTTCGGTCGGCCGAGAACGGAGCGCCTTCCGCATTCCGCCGGCCGGCGGGGCGCGGAGCGGGGCTGGAGGGGAGGGGCGTGCATCGCCGCCGTGGCCGCCGTGGCGCTGGAGGGGAAGGGCCGAGGGAAGGGCTGCAGAGAAGTGCAGCGTGGCGGTGTTGGTTGGCGGGGCGGTCTGCTGACACGGCGACAAGGCGAACTGCGTGCTGGCCGTGCTGGCGGTGCCGGTGGCCGCGGCCCTCGCCGATGTCGGAGGCCGGAGGCCGCGGCAGTCATCGTGCGTGGCCCTGCGCGCTGTGGAGTGCCATGCGGTGCCATGCCTCCGTCGGCCACCTCGCCCGCACCCGTGCCGCCCCCCGTGCCAGCCAGGGCCACTGCCGCCGCCACCGCCGCCCCTTCGCGGGCCCCCAGAGCGCCCAGGGCCCCGACCAGCAGGGCCCCCGCGCCCCCGCCGAAATCGAGGACTGGGCCAACCGCGTCCCCCGATCCTAAACCCCCCCGGGCCCCCCGACAGGGACAGGCGCGGTCGGGGCTGTTCCAGCGCGCTCCGGCCGCGTCTTCTGCCGCGATGCATCGCCAAGTGAGTGCGGGGCCGTTTCCGCCGAGCACCGCGTCGTCCGCCGAGCACCTCGCCGAACGCCCTGCCCCTCCTCATGGACTGTCTGACTGTTGCAGGGCACGCAGGGCTCGCAGGGAGTCAACGGGGCGGCGGTGAAGCCGGTGCCCCCGCCGCGGGCACACCTTCGAATCGAGGAGGACGGGCGGCTGGTGAACCGAGCGCCGGCGCCGCAGCTCCCCGCTCGGCCGCCGGACAACAACAACGACCCCGACAAGGAGCCCACCAAGGAGCAGCTCACCTCGATCCGGAAGTACCAGGTACGCGGCTACGCGGCCACCCTGTCTCTACATCGCGCCCTGCGCGCCCTGGCGCCGGCCTCGAACGGGTCAGCTGCACCCAGCCAAGGTCGGCGTGCCCGTCGTCGCGGGGAAGACGGAAGACACGCGCCGCGCCACGGCGAGTGCGGTGCGGTGCGCGGTGCGAGCCGAGTCCGGTAGGACGTATGACGGGTAGGGCCGGTAGGGCGTTAGCGCGCATGCGTGGGGCCTGCGCCGCTGGGCTCACAAGGCCCCGGCCCCGGCCGCACGCGACGCCCACCGCGACGCCCCCCTCCCCCTCCCCCAGCCATTGCAGGTCCTGGACCACCCCGCGAACCTCGGCCGGTGCCACCACTCCTTGCTGCGCCCCGCCCGCCCCGCGCCGCGCCCCACCCCACCCCGCGACTCGCTTTGGAAGTTCTCTGGTCGGATTACCCACGTCCGCACATTGTCGCAGCCACCCCACCCCTTTCTCGAAACTGCGGCGAGTTTGCTCGGCTGGCTGCTATACTTGACTTTGTGTATGTGCTGCCATAGGTTGCCTGGGCGGCCATAGGCTTGTCGCAGGCCGGGGCCGCTCGCTCGGGGGAATGGAACTATGCAACCGCGGAAGGGACGAAGGGAATCTGCACCGAGTTTGAAACTCGCCACGCCGAGATTCCATAGGCCATGAATATCGTCAGTGGTGCAACGCGTGTTCGGGACCCGTTTTCGTCGCTCCAATGGCGCGATAGCACAGGCATGGCACGCAATGCCTGACCTGAGATGTTCGGGTTCACAGTGCAGCCAGACTGCCAGCCACTGCAGTGGGAATGGCGGGGTGCGCTTTTAGCTTGGGCGGCGGGCCTAACCTCGGGCAGCAAAGTGCCACAGTTATCCTCGTGTGTGTGGCTGCGGTCGTGTACGTGTGAGGCCGTGAGGCTGTGTGAGTGGCGGTGGCGTGCGAACTGGCCGGGGGAAAAGTAGTGGCGGGGTGGCGCGGTCTACTCCGTCATGACTTGACACGCCCCCTCCGAGGCTGGGGCTGGGCCCTCGGCGGGGCCCCTCCCGCCCCCTCCTTGCCCTGCTACCCCCCTGGGGGCCGCCGGGGCCGCCCAACCGGCCCGGCCCGACACGACTGCCTGCCGCCGCTGTCGACCAAGAAGAAAGGCAAATTACACGACAGCGGGGCAAGCAGGGCGTGTTGCTGCACACGAGACAACCTGCATCTTTATGCATTCTGTTTGTGGGGTCCGCGTGCACGGCAGGGCAGACAAGGCGAGGCGTGGCGCGGCGTGGCGTGGCGTCAGGGTCGGGGTGACTTGGCGTCTGGACAACGTCTTGCCAGCCCAGCGCTGTATGTACTCTGCCCTGAAATTTGAGACGGCGCTCTCCTCGACGGCACCATGCTCCCCATTTTTAAGATTTTTATTTTTGACTCGTTTTTTATCTACGGCGTCGGTCGGTGTATGCCGGCGCGCTGGCGCGCTTGTGTGCGCTTTGCTTTCCCTTTCATCCGGCGCTCGAAGCTCCAACCTTTCTTCGTCGATAAGGGACGCGATCCCTGATTGTTTACCTTGCGTCCTTGCGATACAGGCGCGGCGCGGCGGCGCGGGCCACAGAGCCACCTTGCGCCCCACCGTGCCCAGGGCCACCGTGCCCAGGCCGGGGCGACGGCGGCGGCCTTTCCAAAACGAAAAGCGATCGACCGGCCGAGAAGCCGCTCGGCGATAACCATAGACTGTGTGTGTGAGTGAGGTGTGTCAGCATTGCTTGCCCGGACAAACACCAAACAATGCGCGCGGCTTCGGCTGTGCTTCGGCACCGACCCGACTGCCGGCGTGCCGTGGCGTGCCGGGGTTTGATCGGAATGCCTTGCCTGGCCTTGCCGACTGTTTCGAAAAAGAAACGCGCGATCCGACATCCGACCCCGCGTCTTTCTTTTTTTCGCCGAGCTTGAGGCTCGAACCGTCGTCGTCCTCGATTGCGCTCTTCTTGTCGTCGTCCCGGTGGGGCGTCAGGTGCCTGGCTGGGAGGGGCGTGGCGGGGCGGGGCGTGGCAGGGCGTCGCGGGACCCGCATGAGTCACGGCGAGGCCGCGGCCGCGGCGGGGCGCTGATAAGATAGTCTTCGGAGTGTGTTGGCACCGCGAGGCGAGAGCCGCGACGCGCTGCTCAGGTGCGAGGCCCGCAGCGCGGCCGGCGTGGCGCGGCGGGTCGGATAGTGTAGCGGTAGCGGCCTAGTGGGCCGCGCGATGGAATGGCGAGCACCTCGACGGGCACCCGCCGCGCCCACCGGGACGGCCACCGGGACGGCGAGGGCGGCGACGACGGCGGCGGCGGCCTGCTCGGCGCCACCAGCGCGGCCGCCTCGGCGGCCTGGTTGTCCTGCACGGCGTGCTTGGTGGCGGCGTGGCAGCGCGTCGTGCTCGGCGCAGTGTGCCTGCACTCGTGTCCCGGCGTCGACCGGCATGTGGTACGTTGTTCGGGAGCTGGGAGGGGCGTTCGCGAGGCCGAGGCCGGCGGAGGCGCGAGATGCCCCACCGTGTTGCCAATTAGAACCACTCTGGCACTCCGGCGAAGAGGCCGGCCAGTCCGCGGGGCCACGGGCGGCCAGACTTGAAAGAGGAAGTGCGCCCTGAAGGCCCTGACGGCGCTGATTTGCCTGAGCTCCTTTTATATTCGCCCCGCGGTCCGATTGGAAGCTGATGAATGGATTGGGGGAAGGGGGCGGCCGGGGGCGGCCGGGGGCGGCCGGGGGCGGCGCTGTGCTGCAGGCCTCACTGCGCCTTATCCACCGCGGACGAGCCAAAGTCGTGGACGAGACGAGGGGAGGTTTCTCTCGGATTTCGCTGGCTTGCTTGGGAAAGATGCTTGCGCTCATTTGGCAACACTGCGCCCGTTCGCGGTGGCGCCTTGGCCGCGGGCTAAGCCATCACAGTGGCGTGTCGCGTCGCGTTCCGCGCTCGCCGCCTCGTGGACTCGCGGGGACGGGACGACGACGCGATGCTCGGATGGATGGCGGTCGCACCGAGCCGGCCGCCGTCTGCCAGCAGTCACCGAGAGCGCGCCGCCGCCCAGCCGGCACGGCGACGGCGAGCAGGTGCATGAGGCGGAACTGGAACTGGGGCGGGGTGGCTGGGGCTGGGGGCGCTGCGGTTTGGCCAGCAGCACAGCTCGGCCTGGCAGCCTGACAGCGGCGCGGCTCGGCTCTGTTTGGCGCATGCAAAATGCCCCGGATTCGGACCGGATCCGCCTGGCTGGCCTTATGGACTGCGCTTGCTGCGCTTGGCGCTTCGCCTTGCTTCGCCTTTCCCGGCCCCCCGGATTGGCCATTGTTGTGCGGCCGGCCGCGGCCCCGCGAGAAACGGAGCCCGCCGCGACACCAAGGAGGCCATGAGGCTGACGAGAGCCGCCGGTGTCGGCGGTGTTGGGCCGCCGCTGGGAAAATGATTACAGCCAGGCGGGGCCCGCCGTCGCGTCGGCGTCCCTTTGGCCCTTTCGCGCCGCGCCTCGCTCGACTTCCCTCGCGGGGGGATCCAGGCCCTTGCCCTTTCGGGTATTTAACCGCCGGTATTTAACCCTCGGCTACCTCAGGCAGCGCCACTCTTTTGCCGGCCCTTTGGCACCGCATCAATGATCCTCGCGTTGCCGAAAGCCAAAAGAGTCCCTGATGTTCAATAAGGTTGCCGGACGAGCCTTGAAGTGCCCTGGAGGCGTCACAGCGAGCCCCGAAGTGTCCCCTGCATGAAGTACACACTGCTTAGTGCCGGGTCGGCGAGGTGGCCGACCTCGGCTCGGCGGACTTCCCTGACTGCCCAGCTGACCGTGCTCGTCTTGGTGTTGCAGGAGCAGCTCCGGCAGCGCAAGGCGGAGGAGGAGCGGCAGGCCGCGCAGACGGAGTTCCTGAACCGGTCGCTGCGCGGGTCGCGCAAGCTGCAGGCCCTCCAGGAGCCGCAGCCGCCGGCCGCGCTGCCGGACAAGCGGGCGGGCGTCGTCAACGACGGCTACTCGTCGGCGGACGACGCGGACCTGGAGCCCGAGCTTCCCGTGGATGACCCCGCCGTCGTCCTCCACAGGATCATCGGTACGTTTGACTCAGGAAACCATTCGTTTTTCGGGTCCTTGCCGTCGTTGCTTTGCTCTGGTTGTAATCCCTCTTGGTGTGCTCGGCAGGTTACGGCGAGCTGGTTGCCTCGATTCAGCGGCTACAGCTCCAACTGAAAAAGACTGGCAATAGCACCATATCAGGCGGCGGGTACTCTGCCCTCGAAGGGCAGGTAGCGGCTGTGCAGACCTTGCTGCTCAGCCCCGCGTTCGGACGGGCGCTCGCAGTGCACAACAAAGTGCAAGAAGTGTCTGCCCAGCTGCATACGCAGCCTGATTCTCAACCCGTATCGTCGCACGCACAAGGCCTTCTCAGAGACGTAAGCAAATTTAATATACTCATTTATCAATTATATCTGCTCTGCACTTAATTTTTTATGAATTTAAAAAATGGTTTGTTTTGTTTTATTTCAGTGCTTGGATGTGATACAACCGTGTACACTTCCGGAAGCGACCGAGCTGGCTGAACTTTTGACAAGATATGATATTGAAGGCCTACTTCTGGCTCACGATACACTCGCATCACATGATATCGCTGTTGTTTCTCCGACCCTGAGTGAAGTGGAAAGAAGTCTCCCTGAGGAGCCACCTCTGTTACCACCCATCACTCCTTCCCACACTCCTGTACATACAACCCCTGCCCATGTTACAACTTCTATCAATGAAGAACACATTAAAATAATTAAAATAGAGAAGACTAATGAGCCATTGGTATGGAACTTTTAATTTCACTTGCATTCTGTGCTATTTAATTTTCAAAATATTTTTTTACATCAATTTTTGTTATGCTTTCCAGGGTGCAACAGTTCGTAATGAGGGTGATGCAGTTATGATCGGTCGTGTTGTAAGAGGCGGCGCTGCTGAAAAGACTGGCCTATTGCATCAGGGTGATGAAGTTCTAGAAGTTAATGGCGTCGCCATGAGAGGGAAGTCCGTCAATGAGGTGTGCGACATTTTAGCAGCCATGACAGGCACACTCACCTTCTTTGTTGTCCCTGCTGCGAAAGTGGCTCTCCCCCCACCACCTGTAAGAGATGCATTGGTAAGTACTCTTATACAACCGTATCAATGGTTATTAAGTCAAAATTTTTCTTTCTTAAAAAAATAAAACATGTTTGCTGTGTGTGTGTTACAGATGCATGTCAGAGCACATTTTGACTATGACCCAGAGGATGATCTATTCATTCCTTGTCGAGAGTTAGGTGTTAGTTTTCAAAAAGGTGATGTCTTACATGTAATAAGTCAGGAGGATCCAAACTGGTGGCAGGCATACAGGGAAGGGGAAGAGGACCAAACATTAGCGGGTCTCATACCTAGTAAATCATTCCAACACCAGTAAGTATGATTGTTGCCATGGCAGTTCAGTAAGAATTGTCTCAATATCTGTTATGACATGTGTCCCCCTTTTCATTGCAGACGGGAAGCTTACAAACAAGCCAGCATAGCCACAACGGATCCCAAGGAAAAGACAAAGAAAGCATCGACCTTACTCTGTGCCAAGAAGAATGCTAAAAAGAAGAGTAAAAAGAAGGGCTATGGCTCTTCTTATGTGGATGGAAACTACCCCCTATATTCCTCTAGCACCACAGATGGTAAATAGGAGGAAACTTGTTAGATGGTGTACAAGCATGCATTAAAGTTGTTTCCTTAAAATAATAATTTATTTTTCTCTTTTCTGTTTTTTTAGAGTATGAGTCTGAGGAGATTTTAACTTATGAGGAAGTAGCATTGTATTATCCTCGAGCAAACCACAAGCGACCTGTAGTTTTGATAGGCCCTCCCAACATTGGTCGACATGAGCTGCGACAGAGACTAATGGAGGATTCAGAACGATTCGCAGCAGCCATTCCACGTAAGATTTTGTTTAATATAACAAATGTTCAAGATTTCCATTCTTGACCGAGTAACTAAAAAAAATTAATTTCTGTGATTACAGATACTAGTCGTGCAAGGAAAGAGAGTGAAGTTGATGGCCAGGATTATCATTTTATCACACGCCAACAGTTTGAAGCTGATATTTTAGCTCGGAAATTTGTAGAGCATGGGGAATATGAAAGGGCTTACTATGGCACTTCCCTTGATGCTATTCGCTCTGTTGTTGCTGCGGGGAAGATATGTGTCCTTAATTTGCACCCTCAGTCTCTACGAATTTTGAGAAACTCAGACCTTAAGCCCTATGTGGTTCTTGTAGCTCCACCAGCTCTTGAAAAGTTACGTCAAAAGAAACTTAGAAATGGAGAAGCTTTCAAGGTACATCAATGTTTTTACAAATGTTTTAATGGTAATACTATTTGAAAATGTATCTTACCACCATTGTATTTCTATTTAGGAAGAGGAGCTGAAAGAAACAATAGAAAAGGCCAGAGAAATGGAGGAGAAGTATGGGCACATGCTCGATCTTGTCATTATCAACAGCGACACCGAGCGTGCATTTAGCCAACTTCTCTCAGAAATTAATAGTCTGGAGCGAGAGCCTCAGTGGGTTCCAACTGCATGGGTGAAACAACTATAATTTAGGTGAGTTTTGTTTTTAAGCTTTTGTCATGATGTCTTGAGGAAATGGACCATCTTTTACACTTTTCTGCAATTTCAGGTCTGGACAAGAATGCCAAGAGGTGTATTCAACCAATTTATCATTCCAAGCCTGCAGACTTTATTGTGCCAGCTATTTCACACCAAGACTGTACGTCGTTCTGTTTCCTTCCTAGGAACTTGTGATATGGTTGACAGAAGAAACTGTATTAACAGTGTACTGTCAACTCTCGTTATTGTTGAAAAGTTAAAGCCAAGTTTTTTAAAGACATGGACTTAAAGCAGTGGTGCCTAGCGCCTTGTTTTGTTATTTGTCTTCCTTTATAAGTGCTCTCAGTGCAGTAGCGTAGAGTGGGGTGTGCGATCCATTGTTGTGTAGTCATATAGCCATTCTCAATTGTCTTTTCAAATCATTCCATGCCTTAGTTCATGATCTTTGCCTTGACCTGGTTGCTGCAGTAATGCCTATTTCCTTTGTTTTACTATTAAAGGCATCATATGATTTGTTACAAATGCTTGTTATCTGACTTGTAGAATTTTGTTGAGAGTCAACACTTGGTGCCAAAGTCTTCCCCATTGTATGTACTCATTGTAATGACATTTCTATGAGCCTTCCGTGGACCGATGGAGTTTTGTTGTTGTTTTGGTTTTACTTTTATTTTATTATTATATTTTGTTGCCAAATCTCGCACACCCCTGACTGTAGTGTTTGGAAATCTGGATTGTTAATGTGCCTGTTCTTGGATTGTTTCAAAACAATTTTATCCTTGATATGTTATTCTGATTTTTCAATTTTATATACAGATGAAATTTTGTCATGCCTCATTTAACCATGATAAAGAAAATTTACTTTTTCCCTGTCCTTCCTGTGCATGTTATATTTGTTATTGATTTTATAAGTACGTGTTTATAATCTCAAATCCATCTCTTATTCATCTGTATATTTCATTTTGTACCTCTGACTTTCTCAGAAAAGTGAGGCTTTAGTCAGAAGCCTTTGTCTAAGTTCTGACATAATAGTTCCATTTTGAGTGCATCTGGAAAATTCTGTGTGATAGAACATAAACAAACCAATCTTGATACTTACATGAATATTATCATTTACAAGGAATCGCCAATTTATCTGGAAAATTTTGTTTCTGCTCCAAATTACTTGATTTTGCCTACCATGTGCATGCAGTGATCCTTCTATGTTTGTTCTGTAATAGCTGTCCTCTTGGACTTTCGGTTTTGTTTACCAATTTGAAGCCTTATCCTATGAGCACTTCATTATTGGACTATATTCTGTCTCTAGAGTCTAGACAAATGACTTCTGCCGTACATACTCACTACCGTTTGCCATTCAAACTTAACTTTAATTACTACGCTTACTTTTGTTATAGGATTTTAAATCTGACTTGGCAGTAGTCTTCAAAGAATGCACCCTCTTTTTGGAGGGTGCTACAATGAATCTGCCATTTTCCTCTCTAAGCAATACATCACTTTAGGTATTTGTTTTTATCAAAAAATTTCTTATATAATAATTTATATAAACATACAAAGAATTTTGGAGAGTGTACAATTAAATGTATACATAGCAAACCAGTTGTATATTTTAGGATTGTGTAAATGTATGTCCATTATTGTAATTTGCCGTATTAAATTCCTTGTTGTATAGTTCTTATTGTCATCTTAGCCTTTTAATCATGAGCAAGCTAAGATTTGTTTCATGAAAATATTTAGATAAAGTGTACAGTTATTTTTTATTATAAAGCCCCAATATATTGAATGTAAATATTACAGTATAATTTGTACAAGGGTAACTCTTTTTAACAGAAACTGCTCAAAATTACAGCGTGATTGTGTACAATGGTTGCTTTCCATATTGTGTTGCGAAAGGGATGGGCCTAGTGGCATCCATATGTAGAAAGGAGCCGCAAGCAACACAGCTGTGTAAATTTCTGTCGTGATTCTTAGTAAATGGTATGAGTGTGTAATCAATACTGTGGTGTTTTCTTTCCCTTCTTTACCCCCTCATCCATGGCCACATCTTTGTGAGCAAGAATCAGCAGAAATGAAAGGGAACTGAATGAGACACCAACAAACAGTTGAAAAATTAAACACATATATTATACAGTTTTGTTCAGCTCAAAGTTGCTCACAGAAAGTTGAAGTACGAGAGGAGAGTGCCTGTTCAAGACAAGGAAGCACAGGTTCACTGATTTCTTTTTTCTTTCTCAAGCTTCAAGGCTAACATTTTAATTTTATGTGCAAGTCCTCCTAGCTCTTCTTCGCAATTTTGTTCACTGTCTTCCTCTCTTCTTTCATTTTCTGTCATCTTGCTCTTAGCATCTGGTGGATTATTTTTGACCTCCTCATTTTGTTCTGAAACAGGGAAACAATTTATGCAAAAAGTATACGGCAATTTTTAAAGTGTATAGATAGGTTTCATCACAAACTTAATAATAGTTCAAATGAGCACATACGCAAATAAACTGTAGGGTTTCTTGGCATACACTCTGTCTTTTCGACATGTTCCCACACTTGCACTAGAGCATCTGCTTTCAGTTTCTCCTTTTGGGGTACACCCAAATACAATAATTTCTTCGGAGTGACTATCAGCTCTGCTGTCATGGAAACTAGTACGCCTGAGCATTCAACTTTTTTGCTGTCTAGGTCTTTATTTATCAGAGTCGTTATTTGATTCAAATCACAATCACTCCCAAATTGAAGAATGTGTTTACAGAAACTTCGAATGAAAAAGGAACCTGCAAACATACACAAAATCTCATAACATTAAAAAACAATTAAAATTTTCTAGTTAAGAGGAATGATAGTGAGAAAATCAAATAAAAAAGAAAATGTTTCTTTTTTAAAAAACCATGAGTAACTTAACCCACCATGTACAATGTCACGATAGGCAGCAAAACCTGACACACTAGATGACAGCTCGAAAATATCCTTTAAATTTTTTGAAACAGAGTCAGATTCACTCCCCACTCCATCTTCTTCAATATTATCTGGCTTGGTTGCTGTTGGATAACATAAGCCAATAAATAGCTAAACACATAAAGAATGAAAATATAATCATTCAAAATGGTTGAAGTACCTTGAGAGTTCCCTTTGCAAGCTTGATTCAATAGGAGTCTTGCAAGACCCTTTGTGTCAGGGTGTCTCAATTCAGCACGAATTGCATCCCAAGTAAGTAAATTGCCTTTGGTGCAATAAACCCCATCTAATAAAAAACAATTAGTAAACTTTTAACTAAAAGTAATACTTTTTCAAATTGCTTTTTGGCAGTTCTTACCTTTATCACCATGGGCCAAAATGGCAACGGCAAAGCACCTCTCTTTCTTGCTTTTCTTAGCCTCTGAGCAAAATTTTGCCAAATTCTCTCTAATAATTAAGATGATGTCTTCCGCTGTCGGATCCGGAATAACACTCCTCTGGAAGCCCAGTAACTCAAATGTGTTTTGAAGCCTATCTACATCTACATGAGAACCATTTCTCACACCAAGAGAAATACCATTACCATTGACCACCTGAAAATTTTTTTTCAATGACTTGACAGTTGCAGGCAAGACATGTCATTACAGAGGAAACAACACTTAAAGTTATTGAACTGAAATTACCTCTTTGCCATAGTCCACTATATTAAAAATTAATATGGTGCCTGGATTTTCAGGATCAAGATTAAATCTAACAGAAGGTGCTTTCCTCCAAGCCACATTTTCAACACCATTCTCGACACTGATACCTGGTTGCTCTCCATTAACAGCATTTTCAATACTTTTCAGTTGGTGAGCCCAATAGTCTTTTCCCAGTCTTTTCAAACAGCTAAATAGCAGGGATAAATTCACCCTCTGGTCCTGTAAATAATAGAATCAGATATAAAGTATATTTTTGTCTCCACTTAACAAAAATTTTTTTAAAAAACCAATACCTTTTTTTTCAACTGTATAAAATTTCTGGACATTAAAATTAACAAGAGACACTCTGGAATTTCAGTATACTTTGCTGGCACACTTTGTAGTTTTGTTTCTTCTATTATTAACAACCGCAGATCATTCCAATCATCTTTGCTGAGGTCATCCACCATTAAATACAGAACTTTTCTTATTAAATCTACATGACATGAAGTGTTGGCCTGCTGAGGTAAGAATCTTAACTCAAGGTCACGTTGATTTGCATCCAAAAATTTTATAATCTGGTAAAATGAGAAAAATGGCATAAAACATTTCAAAACATGTTGGTTCAAATGTCAATAGAAAGACAATGAGAACATACTTCACAAGAAATGTGTTTAGACTCACCCAAAATTCTTTTATGATCATCAGAGCTTCCAGTAATCTATCTGACCAGTTTATGCCCTTAGCAAGCAATGATTTTGACCACTTTACAAGAGGCCCTTCATGAAACACTCCACCACTATCAGAAAATAAAAATTTATAATACAAAAATAATGACTAAACTTACTGTCAAACTCGACTATCTCGAAGGTTGATTAATTAAAATATGAAATACTAACTTGAAAAGTACGCTGTCGAGGACAGGCAGATACCTTCGACATGTGTGTATTTCAGTACAGATGTCCTGTAGTGCCATATCTACAGTATCATACAGTAGAAATATGCATCCATATACTTCTAATGGGTCCATCCGAAGCTCTATTTGAGCAACTTTCTCTGGGCTATGGGAAAATTTACAAACGCTTAGAGCTTGAAGATAAACAACCATTATAATTCAATAATCATAAAAAATTTAAAAAAATGTCTTACCTTAAAAGAGAGTGAGCCATTCTCAATTGGCACACCCGTATACTTACTAAACGACAAAAAATGTAAAATTACATATGAACTAAACAGCCAGCAGCCGGGGAATAACCTTTGTTTGTACACATAGTGAGTGGACCCCTTATTCTCAGCTGAAGTAAACTGCCAAGAAAACGAATCTGGCTATTCACAGAGTGATTTGTTATTGTTTGCATAACCTCCGAAACGCAACGCACTACCTTAAGTTTTCTTAACTTGATCGTTATTTAATCAAGCTTCTCCTTGATCGTTCATTTCATAACGTCAAGAGATATGTCAGGCACGAAAAAAATGATTGGTAGACGAGTGCCCACGGATCCTTTTTTCTCAGAGGGAGACTCAGTTTGCAATGTATACAAACGTTTAGGGGTTTTTGATATTGACGATGAAGAATTATGTCACAAGGAGTAAGCATGATTTATTAGAAGAGTACTTAATTTCAATTTAACATACTTCAAAGAACCACAATGTTCATTTTCATCAATGATCGTTTTTCCTTAGGATAAATAATCTCATCTGCGAAATCCCAGGATGTACTACTCAACTTAAATCTGTCATGGAATTAGAGCTGCACTACAATTCTATTCATCGTTACACTTGTGCAACTTGTCGTAAATCTTTCGCATCAGCACACTTACTGGATTTACATATAGAGGAAACACATGATTCCTTTTTTGCAGTTCAAGCTGAAAGAAAACCTATGGTAAAGTCATTTGGATTCTTAGAATCCCTTGTTTTTTTATTGATAAACATGAAATCATTTTGTGTTTTGGTTTTAGTATCGCTGCCTTGTGGAAACCTGCACAGCTAGATTCACTACAAGCCAGGAGCGACACTGTCACTGTGTTGACAGCCATGCATATCCACCCAGATTTCGGTGGGTAACGCCCAAGGTATCCAAACCAAACTCAAGTAAGAAGAAATTTCAAAGGCAACAGAAGAAGGAAAAGCATGACATGGATGTGAATGCCACTGAACACAGTAATACAGGAATGGATGTTGATGAAGACCAGGATCCAAAACATTCACAGCCTGAGAGGAAACCTTTCCGCGGATTTGTATTTGGACGAGGAAATATGAAAAAGTCTTTCAACCCCAAAAGTTCAGATTGGCATCGGAGGGACAAAGCAACAAGCACTGACAGTGCCTCTGCTAGTGCCCTTGAAGGATCGCAACTGAGCACAGACCTAATGAACAGTCTGCCGAGTTCTGAAATGTCTTCATGATCACTAATAATGCTATCTCATCGGAGTAAAATTTTCAATTTTCTATAAATGTACAAATTTTTAATTAAATTTTATATTTCTTGTTAAAGGTCAACTCGATGATGTGATACTAAAATAAAATACCTAGACAAAGAAAATGTCCTGTAGTGTAAATTAACCCGGCAATTTTAGTGAATCGCTCAAAGAGCTTGCAGCTAGGAGGAAAGAACACGAACAGCAGTGACAGCAGGATAACTAATCCTCTGCACTGCCAACGCCATTCAGAACTGCCTCATTCGGTAGCATCCTCCCTCAATGCTTGCAGAAGGCTCCACGGGCCCCACGAGAGGGCGCTGACGAGCGTTGGACGAGCGAACCGCATCGCCGTCTGCGTCTCCACCAGTCTCCGCGCGACACTTCGATCGGTTTAATTATCCTCTCGGACTGATTCCGAGCGGGTGGTCTCTCCGTCTCTCTCGCACCCATGCTGGACGCCGCATGGGTGCGAGAGAGACAGACCGGCGTGCGGTGCACACAGGAGGCGGGGCGAAGCGCGAAGGGGAAGGGCGCGGGCCTTCCCTCCCCGGGGGTGGGGCCCTGTGAGGCCCGGCAGCCCTGCCGAGGGGTGGCTGGCTGGCCATGGCTGGCTCGGGGTGGGCGGTGGGGGCTCGTGGCGCTCCGGGTCTGGCGGGGCCAGGCCAGCTCAGCCCCCTACGCGAAGCCCCGCAAGTGAATGACGACCGAGTATAACGAACTCACGAATACACAGACAGGCACACGGCCGAGCCGCGGCGCGCCAGCCAACCCCTTGGCTCTGTGGGGGCTGCAGACTGATTCCGAGAGTCGTTTTCGTCGTTCTGTCTCTCTCGCGCCCCTAGGGGAGGCCCCGTGAGTGCGAGAGAGACAGAGCGACGAAAACGACTCTCGGAATCAGCGTGCTGCCCGGGCTGGGGGCTGGGGCGCCTCAGCCCGGGCTTGTTCACTGCGGTCCTCATTACCTGGCGGAACAGTGAGACAGAGACAGTGAGTCACCGCGCGGGTAGCTGGCCGTTGGTAGCCGTTGGTAGCTCGCCGCGCTCTGCGCTTTGAACCGGCGCCAGCTCGAACCACCAGCGCGGCGGTGGCGGTCTTGCCGACAGCCGCAAGATTGATTAAAGCGAAACGCGATCCGGACGCTACGCTGTGACACTACGCTGCGATGATCCGGCCAATCTAGTCGCTAATCGGCAGTCGGCGGCGGCCGCGGACAAGGACTCCCCTTTTCCACGCGCCCCGTGCCGTCAACACACTGCAAAAAAGGGGTCGGGGGGAATTGAAGATCGCCGGCACGGCCTCCACCGGCACCTGCGAAACGCGTGTCAATTGATGGCTACACTTTGGTGGGTTTGCGCGCGACACGCGCGACACGTGTGGCCCGGCCCGGTTGGCCCGTCTGAGCAAACAGAGTCACGTTCGAGGGGGTGATGTGGGAGAGCGGAGAGGAACGGCCGGAACGTCCCAAGTCCCCACCTGGCGCGCGGAGATGAGAAACGGCTCCAATCATCTCAGCGAACCGCGGCAAGTTCGCGGCCTCGCGGAAAGGCTCTTGAATCGTCGTAAATAGTTAAATTTCCGAGTAGTTTTTGTCATTTTACGCACGGCGCTCGCAACGCCCACCCTTCACGAGCCATGGGCACCAAAAAACGTGAATTCGTTTGTTTGTCAGGTTGGCGGCACTCCCTGCGCGGCTCAGCAAACATCGGCAAGGGCGCGGAGGCTGGTGCAGTGCGAGTGCGTCCGCGGTCTCGGTCTTTGGGGCGTGGCCTGGCGTGGCCTGTCCGCGATGCAGGTGCGATACGCGTCCCGCGCCAATCCCTTGGCCAAACAGCCGCCGCCGCCCTGGCCACGCCACTGGCGGGCACTGGCCGCAGGTTTACGGTGTGTCACGGCAGCCGAGGAGGAACCACGAACCACGAGGAACACGCTGGAGTATCGGAAGGAACGGGTGGACGGATATCGACGGATATTCGATACCGGACACGTCGGTGGCGGGGCGGGGCGGGGCCCTACCGGCCTGACTGACCTCTTCCTCTACCCGGCTCAGTGTGGCAAGCCTGTCCGGCACTGGCCCGGCCCGCCGGTGTCGTCGGGTACCTGCACCCTGTGCCACCGAACAGCCAACGCGACGCTCACCGACGTAGGTCAGAAAGATGCAGACAGACAGGCGCTCTGCTCGCCGCCCCATTTCGGGTCCTTCCCCGGTGCTGCTGGGACTTGGTTACGTCGTTTGTGGACACGAGTAGGTTGAGGTGGACCAGCGCAGTGTTTGCTTAGCCGGCTAATGCTTCCCCTCATGAGGACGTCTTCATTGACGGGTGGCGGCGGGACAGCGCGGTCGACCGCAGCAGAGCCACCCCTCCACACCACTGCAAGGCCGGTGGCCAGATCCTTGTCGGAACAGTATCACTTCGCGGCGACCGCCGAATCTCGCCTTATCAGATGGGGCGCCGCGGCGTGCACCGTGAGAGTTTCACTGCCTGAAAAGAGGGGAGAGTTTCAGTCAAACCCAAAGGTGGAAAACTGGGAAGGGAAACAACACCACTTGACGTCCGTTCAGGAAGGACCAGTGACCATCCTCGAGCGCCAAGCAAAGACGAACAGCGGGCGCCATCGGCCCGCCCCGCGTTTAGGTCGCCGCCGTCGAGCGCGTCGGACCGCAGGCAGAGGGTCGTTCTGGGCGTGCCGTCGCTACCCCGAGCGCGAGAGCATCTCCCCAAGGCTAGCACTGAGTGTCTCTCGCGCGCGGGGCAGCGACGCCAGTCGCCATTGTTGCGGCGCGACTGTGACAGTGGCGTGGTGGCGTACCGGTTCCGGCGGGTTCCGGCCGGCCACCCTGCGCCCTGCCAGACCCTCGGCCCGGCCGCGTCCCTTCCGGCGACGAGGCCATCACGCCATCCATGTCCTGCAGCAGCAGGCCGAGTCCGAGGGACAGTCCTGTCTCTCTCGCACGCCACGGGCCGACTAGGGCCGCCCCACGAGTGCGAGAGAGAGGCCTCCCGCCCGGAGTCAGCCTGCCGGCCGGGCAGCGGGCCGACGGGGCGAGCAGCGCGTCATCCGGTATCGGGTTGCACAATTGTTCCAATCGAACGGATTCCATCATCAGTCCAGTCAGCCAAGTCGGCCCGACGCGACTCCGGGACTCCGGGAGAGCAGCAGCGTCCTCGTTCGACCACCCCGGCCACCGGGAAGAGCGGAGGTGGAGCGACGAGATTCACGACCGACGCGCCTTTCATTTTGGTTTTCAGAGGGGACCGCAGAGGGACAGTCAGGCTGACACGCTGACATCGTTTCCGAAACTTGAGCAAAAATTAAAGTTCAACCAAAACAACGCACTCGCCAAAGGATACATCTCTCACTGATTTCCTGAACGTGGAAACTTCTGTCTTTCTTCTTTCAGCTCAGGCTGAAGTGGAAGTTGAGAAGAATCTTGGCAGAATTTGTAGTCGTTTCCTGCACTGGCGCGGCGCGCCCCTGCGGCCGTCAGGTGTCGCGGCGAGGGTGGCGACGCCACGGAAGAAGGCCCCCCCCCCCCGCACGTGAAGCAAGGGGTAAGGTTGCACGCGCACCTGAGTGACGGACGGGACGGGCAAGACGGGAGTCCGCTCCGCGCTCTACGGGGTAAAGTGTTCAACATTCGATCTTCGGGGCCCAAGGGCGAGACAACTGAGGCGGAAGGACTCTCGTCTGGAACTGGAAAGGGCCCAGCAGCAGCAGACAGCCCTTGGAGCCCTTCGAGGGCCCGAGGCCTCGCCCGGCGCCTGCAACTCCTCGCCGGCGCCCAGGCGGCCCCCTGCAGCCTGCAGCCCCAGGGCCAGGGCCGACCGGGGCCAGGGCCCCGCAGCTAGCAGCGCCAGCGCGCCAGCAAGCTAGCCAATGCTTAGCGGGCTATCGAGTTACCGAGGGGCTTGTGCTTGTGCAGCGGGCGCGGCGCAGCGCAGCGGGCCCGCCCGGCACCTTCCCTCGCCCGACTCCCCGACTCACAACGGGGCTTTTCTTTTCAAAGAGTTGGGCTGGGCGCCCTTTCCACGGCCGCTGCACTAATCAAGGTTGCCCAGCCGCGAGTGATGTTCCACAGAAACGTGTGGACGCGATGCTCGCTTTTTTCGGCGCAGGCGAGACATCCCAGCAGACTGATTCCGACAGTCGCCATGTCTTTCTCGCTCTCAATGGGCGTCCCCTGCAGGTGCGAGAGAGACAGTATCGGAATGAGCCTCCAGCCCGGCCCACGCACGCGGACGACGTCGACGCGACACTGTTTGTCCACCGTGGGCACGCGCCGCCACGGCCGCGGCCCGCCTGGCCCGCCCGTCCGAATGTTGTTTGTGTCAACAGAGAGAAGCCCCTGACTGCCCCTGGCGCTGCAGCCCGGCCGCCCCGCGCCGGCCGCCGAGGAGCAATGACTCTGCAGCCAAGGGCCCGAAGGGGTGGACCGGCCGGCCGGCTGCTTGTCAAGGTCCTGGCCGTCCCGCCCCGTCAACGCGTCAACGCGCGTCTTCGCGTCCTCCGTGTGCGATGCAGCAGGCGGGCCAGTTAGTTCCCGCGTGCCTGTTTGTAAATCCACTGCAAAATGTTCAAGGGGGTTCGGCGTCGGGCAGGTGAATCGGGTGCGAGAGAGACAGAGCGACGAAAAAGCCTCTCGGAATGAGTCTTTGCCTGCTGCAGTGCAGCCACCTGCGGCCCGGCCCGGCCCCACCTTGGGCCCCATCGATCACCGCGTCGCTGCGTCGCCGTCGCACCGCACACTGACTTGATGCGGCACGCCGGCACGGCAAGTCGATGATGCGCCCGGCCGAGCCAGCCGAGTGGACGGAGGACTTCCGTTCACAAAATGAAACAAAACGCGAGCGTCGCATCGCCCGGCATCGCCAGCGCTCGGCCTGGCTTGGCCAGCGAGGCGGACTGGCCGTCTGCACCGTCTGCACGCCGGGGCCGTACCGCCAGTGTACCGGCAGCAACGCCAGCATCGGGGGGACGGCACTTTCACGACGGCGTGGGCAGAGGCCGCCAGAGGCAGAGGCCCTCCAGATGGACACGGACGAGGCGGAGCCGGCGGAGCAGAGGCGAAGCGAACCGCGCGGCAGTAATCCAATTCACTTTCCGAAACGAACGGCCGGCCCCGCCCGGCTGAGGAAACGCCGCACCGCCGTGGTGTTCGTCGGGGGGCTGATGGCTGATCCGGACATCGCACCCCGCCGAGCGCCCCGCACCCCGCCGTTGGCCGTTACTAGAGTGACGTCCAGCCGGGCGGCGCGCAGATGGCACTGCAGGCCGCCGAGCAGGCCGTGCAGCAGACTGATTCCGAGTGTCTCTCACACGTGTAGGCGACGCACCATGAGTGCGAGAGAGACAGAGTGACTCTTGGAGTCCGTCGGCAGGGTGACGAGTACGTTGACCACGCCTGGATTACCGGCACCAGCGGCCTAGCAGACCTGTCATGCCTTCGCCATGAGCTTTGTCCGGGACGCCCCCCCCCCCCCCCATCTTTCCTCATCGCATATTGAACCCGTTAGGAAGTGGCGGTGCCTGCCCTCTCCCGGTGCCCTCACCGACACCCCCTCCCCCTCCCCTCCTCGCACCCTTCCGCGTCACTGCGGAGGATCAACTCCCAACACACGCTGGGTCGTAACAGGATCAGAGTCCTCCTGGTGGAGAAGGGGGGGGGGACTTCCCCCTCCCCTTCACCTTTGCCCTAGGCTGGTTCCCTTCCTCCCTCCGTAGATCACCTGTCCGGCCAAAGTTACGTCACGCCGGTGCGCGCGGCTCGTGTCCAAGTAGTGCCAAAAGCCGCCAAGGCGCGCCAAGGACCTCGAGTCCAGGTCGGGGCGAAGCAGTGGCGCGCCCAGCAGTGGTGGGCGCCTCCTGTCCACCGAGTCCCCCCGAGGCCCGGTAGTGCCCCGGCCCGTCCGACGGCGCGTCCGACGGCCACGTCCTGCGTCGTCCTGGCGAGCAGACGGGCACGGCCTCGTCGCACCCTTTCCCCCTCCCCGGCCGGGCTGTCGTTGTCGCAGTGTTGTTGTCATCGTCTTAACACATGATTGGGCGGGGCGGGGCGGGGCGGGGCGGGGTGGGCGGGCGGGAGCGGCGGGGCGGTGGGCGGGCTCGGGGGTGGGTGGGGTGGGGTGGGGTGGGGGCGTCGGGGGCGGGCTGGCTCCCTCAAGAGCCTCATGGTGCGGGCCAGTACGGTTCGCGGGTGCCGCAGTGCCGCCCGACCCGACCGACATGTGGGCAGAGCAGGTCGGAGACTAGTCGGCAGGGAGTAGCAGGCGACTCGCACGCCGGCCGCGCGACCGCACGGTGACCCGAGTGACCCCGCGAAGTGACCGGCAGACTGACGCCGCGAGTGACGCCGCGAGTGACGCAGTGAGAGTGACATGCGCGGAAGGACGCGGAGGAGAGACAGTGGCGTGGATTCGCCACGCGTTTAGGTTCCGCGGAGGAACCCGAGTGAAGTGGTACCAGTGAGAACGCCAAGCCCGAGGGGATTACCGCGACCGACGCCTTCCAAGGCCAAGTTTCGCTGGCCTCGCGGGGCGCGCCGTGAACCGAACCGCCCCCTCTGGGGCCTCGCTGCCGCCTGCTGCCGGCCGCCCCATCTTGCGCCCCCGAGGCCCCCGCGGCCCGGTGGGGCCTGGACAGCCTGGACAGCACGCTAGGAACGGACCAGCCGAAAGGAGGTAAGTCTTGAACTCGTTCGATACAGAGGTGCAGGGGGTGCAGGGGGAGAGGCAGCACTTATGTAAACTTGTAGCCCGTTTTCTTTTCAATGCAAAACAAATAAAGAAAAAACCTCCTGGAACTGTTTTCAAAATTACGAAAAAGGATGAACGGCGATGATTCGTATGACGTTTCAAAGTTTGCAATCTGTTAAACATAAATTCCCCCAAAATACTGAAAACGTCGGTGAGTCCCGTTGGAGGAAGTCACGTGCAAGAGAAAATCGACAATCAAGCTCTCCAAGGAGAACAACTGGATAATTTTGCGTGCAGCAAAATGTTGAAGAGCTGACGGCTTTTTCGCTTTTCAAACAAATTAAAATAGTTGGCGGGCGTTTTTCATTTTTTTTTTTTTAATTTTTATTTTTGCGAGTTGCCCTACGGTCGCGGTCCAGGCGCTCCAGCCCGGCGTTCCGCGGTGCCGTGCCGTCGTAGAGTCTTGCCGCCGTGGGTGGTGGTCGCCGCAAAATGCAGGTCGCGTTCCAGCCCCCGATCAGCTTCGCTTTCACCACGGTGCACCACGGTGCACTATGGCGGCGGGGCGCGTGCTATAACGGCCTGACTGACACACTCCACCTACACTAGGCAAAAGTAGAGGGAAAAAGCAGGGGGCGCTGGTGTTCGAACCCGGGACATTAGGGCCGCCGCGGCAAAGGGCACAGGATGTGTGTAAACCGCAGCCAGGCCAACAAACCGCACGCCTGGTGTCTACATCGACGTCCCGGGGAAAAGGTGACTGCGTTTCGCACTGCGTGGACTAGCTGCGCCCCTCCTGGATGGAGTCTGGGACTCGCGGACTCGACACTGCAACACCGTCACCGTGCCGGCGAAGGCGAAGCACCGCGGAGCACGCCAACCTGCCGGCTCTCCAAAGCAGTCGCTCCGTCGCCCTGTCTCTCTCACCCTCAAGGTGCGCGAGGGAGACGCGGCGACGAGAGCACGCTGTTCGGAATCGCCGGCAGTGAAATAAACGGCCCTTTATGCCGCTCTGATTTTCAATTTCCGACCACAGTGTCCATGCCAAGGCCGTGGCGGCGGCGCGGCACCTTTGTACCCATTGTGTGCTATGGTTGCTGCTCGGGGCTTGTGCCGCTGGCGTCGCGACGCCGCCCCGGCGGTGCCGCGGCGCCCTAGTGCTGCCCCGGCGTCGCCCCCGCGTCGCCCCGGCCGCGGTGGGCGTGCCCGCCACGCCCCGGCCAATCACGTCGCCGGGCGTCAATGCCTCCGCCAATGAGAAAGCGGCGCCGCGGCGGGCCGCCGGGACAAGCCGGTACGCGGGACGGGGTCGCAGAGACGCGCCGAGGAAACAGCGAGCCGCCCCGAAGCACCGAGCGCCGCGCCGTTGAGACCCGGCGCGGCGTCGCGGCGCATTGTGGCGGGAACATTACCCGGACAGAAAATGTTATTCGAAACGACGTCAACTCGACGTCGAGTTTGCGGAAGAAAAAAGTATGAATCGATATGTTGATTCGGAGGAGGAAAGGACAGTTTCTGACACGAAAATTTTAATCAAAAGCTAAATTTACTTTTTCGAAACGCGGCCCGCTACTCCAAAACAAAAAAAAGGCACAGTTAGCTGGATCAGCTGATCAGCTAAGGGGAACATAAGACAAGTTTCGATCCCTCTTGTCTATCGAAGAACTCGAAATCCATCACAGACACTGTTCGAATGCCCATCGAACAAGGATTCCGTTGCCACCATGAGTCCGATTTGAGTCCCTTTCACGGGCCTCGCAGCTCAGAACGCATTGGAAGGTCCCGAACAGCTGGAGCGCACTGACCGACGCGCAAACGTATGGCAGTGACGTGACGGTCGTCCGCCAAATTAATTCGCCACCGCCACAAAGTCACGATAACCAGGCGGGGACCAGCAGAGCGGTGCTGCACGGGAGGGACGGGAGGGGGGGGGAGGAGGAGCGGGGCTGGAGCGTATCGGGTGTCGCCGGGGTCATCCCCGCCGAGCCGTCCTAATATCTGGAGTAACCCGAGCCGCAGCCCACGAGCCCGCCACGCTCCGGCCGGCCCGGCCACGGCGGCCACCGCACTCATTCCAAAGGTAAACACGCGGGACTGTGAGGCTAATCGCGTGGGACAAATCACTCATTACTACTTCGGGTGGCGTCGCCGTGGCCTGGGCGCAGGGTGGCCCGGTCTAGCCCGGTCCAGCACGGTGCCATGGCGCGCCGTCCCTTTGAATGGCGGCATGGCGACGGAGTCGACGGAGGCGTCCACCTAGGTCTTCCCTTTTGGCGCCTCGCCTCGCTTTGAACTCGCTGCCGTGCAATTACCTCTGGTCTCTGGTTCAATGGCTGCCTCTGCCTGGCGGCCCCGGCGGCCTCACCTCAGCCCGCCGCCGTAACGCACTGCTCACTGTATTTCTGTCCCGCAGCGCTTCTACGGCTGCCTCCCGACGGGGGCCGCGCCGCCCTGCCGCGCCGCCCTACCGCAGGTCGCCTGGACGGGGAGCTGCCCTGCCATGACGCCGCGGCCCCGACGCCGCGACCTGAGGCGCCGGTCTGAGCGCCGGAAACGGTCCCCAGCTCCCGCGACGTCGCCGGCCTCGGCCAGGTGCCCGTCGACCCGGTCGACGCCGTCGTCATGAGGCTGCCTTCCTCGCCGGGCGAGGGCGCCGCGGTCGGGTACGAGGCCTGGCGGCCCGGGGGCGGGCCTGGGGGAGGTCCGGGGGGCGGTCCCGGACTCGGCCCCGGCCACGCACTCGGCCTCCTGGTGGGGCTCGCGGACCGCGCGCCCGACTCCATCATGGATACCTGTTACATGCCCAACAACCCCGCGCACTATGGCCTGGACATGTTCGCGGGCGAGGGCGACACCGTGCCGGGCGTGCCCGGTGGCTCCGGACCCTCCGGCCCGGGGGCGGGGAGCAGCCCCGAGGCGGAGGGTGGCGGGGGCGGCGCGTCGGGGCTCGGCCCGCTCCAGGCCGTGCTCTCGGCTGGAGGCCCGCCGTCCCCGGCCAGTCCCTACGGCGTCTCCCTCGGCGCGGCTCTGTCTCCGCACGACCCTCACGACGTGGCGGCCGGCTCCACCGCGGCACTGCATGGCCTCGCCTCGCAGGGGGTAAGTACGGCCGAGAGTGGCACACCGCGAGCACTTACAGCGCGCATTCCGAAAGTCGCTTCGTCACTCTGTCTCTGTCGCTCTCATTGGGCGTCCCTCAGGGGTGCGAGAGAGACAGGGCGACCAAACGACTTTTCGCTCGGCGGCTGGCTTGGCTGGCCCCGCGCCGCAGCGAGCGCCCGACCAGCGCGCGATGCAGCGCGGTGCGCACGGCCGCGCGGCGGGCTGCCTACCCGCCACGGCTGCGGCCGCCAGCGCGCCGCGCGCCGACGTCGCGGACTCGGGCCTCGCTCACGGAGATGTGTTCGTCTTTTGATCCAGCCCGGCGGCGGCGTAGGTGGCTACTGGCCCGATGATATGATGGCCAGCTTCTCCCTGCCTCCCTTGGACCTGGAGCCGCTGCCCAGCATCTTCCCGTTCAGCCCCTGCCCCGCGCCGTCCTTCAAGTGAGTACCACCGCGCGGCAGTTCCTCGCGCTGTTTTTGTGTCCCAGTGCGTCAACGTGTTGGATGCTGCAGGTCCGAGTACGGGTCGCTCAAGGAGTCCAAGTCCGTCGGGGGCCCCGACGTGACGGACGTGCTGCTGCAGCTCAAGCATGCCGTGGTGCACCCCGGGCCGCTGTCGCCCTCCAGCTCCTTCTACTCCAGCAGCCCCTACAGCAGCGCGCCCTACAGCACGTCCTACTCCACGCCCTACAGCTCGTCCTACAGCACGCCCTACGCGCCGCTGCAGCAGCCCACGTACTCCGGCCCGTCGGCCAGCCTGTCCTACACCGTGCACCCGCAGGTAAGTGGTGGCGGAAATCGCGCTGGGAACCGTCTCAACAATACTAATCCACTGGCAAGTCTCCTTGGGCCACTCCGGTGGCGCTCCGTTCCGAATGCCTAAAGTTGTCCTTCTGGCCCTGGACCACCCAGTCGAAATGACAAAATTCGGCCGCTGGAGTGCCAAATTTTGGCGTTCAAAACGGAGCGCTACTAGACAAGGTAACTTACCAATGGATTTACAGTGATCCCACCGAGACGCCCTGGAAACGAAACACTTGAATTTTGCCCCCGTGCCCGCAGATGATGTCCTCCTCCCCGAGCAGCGGCTACGGCGGCAGCGCCAGCTTCTGCAGCGGCGCCCCGCTGCACCAGATGCACCACCAGATGGAGCCGAGCGTGGGCTCGTCGGGGTCCCTCGCCGGCGGCCCCGGCGGCCTGGCCAGCTCCCTCGGCAGCGGCGGGCCGTCGTCGTCCTGGCCGCCAGCGCCCACGCACAACGTGTTCCCCAGCATGTCCGTCAACGTGTCCATGAACATGACGATGCACGGCTACCCGCCCAACCGCAACGTCAACATGAACATGGACAACCTGGGGCTGCAGCACCACCAGGTGAGACCGTGCTCTCCGACAATCGGCATGTTTGAGCCCGAGATGACCCGAAGTCTCCAAAGGGCCGCCTCACAGTTGGGCACACCGCAGTGTCCTGTCCAGAAACTTAGCGACTTGTCTTCCGAAAGGCTTAAGGGCGCGGCTTGCGGGGGGACGGCAGGGCGCAAAAGACCGTCTGGCGGCAGCCCCTGCCAAATATTGATCGAGGCGGCCATGTTGTCGCAAACACGAACACAGTGCAGCCGTCGCGGCCGTCGCCCAGTAGCCAGCGTTGCCATGGAGACGCTGCTTGGCGGGCCGAGGCGAGCCTCCCCATTGGCTGGCCGGCGAGGTCCCCGCGGCCCTCGCCACCAATGGGAGCGAGGGCAGCGTCGCGGCGCTCGGTGCGTCGGACTGTCGGACGGCTGCGGGGCTATCTTGAGGAATGAACACCGACACACTGCACTTTTCCTCAAAACTTAATTAGAGTTTCGAAAAGCGGCTGCACCTCTTCGCTCCGCGTTAAACGCACTCGAGTCAGTGTATCGTTTATCGCCAGGTCAGGTCGATCCTGCGAAATGAGTGGCGTTTATCAACACTCGACGGCGGCACGGCGGGCGCAGGGCACGGCGGGCCGGTTCCCCGTCCTCGGCGTCATGCAGTGTGACACGCCAGATTGCGGCTATCTAAGCCCTCGCGGCAAATCTCGACGTCCGCTCGTCATTCACTCAGCCCCAAATTGATCCCGATAGAGCCAAATAAGCGAGCCGAAACTTGGAGGATCAAGCCCAACTTTGTTTCTGACTGGTGTTCCTGGTTTTTGTCGTCGCGCAGGTGCAATGGACGGCGGCGCCCGCCCCTCTGTCGCCGGGCTACGGCAGCAACGGCGGCCTGCTCAGCCCGCAGCCCTACCCGTCCGTGCCGGCCGCCACCTACAGCTTCACGGCGGACTTCCGGCCGCCGACGTCCGCGCCGCCGTCGTCCGAGTCGTCCTCGCTGACGCCCTTCAAGCCGGTGCTGGGCAGCCTGGGCGGCCTCAAGCCGCTGAGCGGCAGCATGCAGGCCGGCTGCGTGGTGCCACCGGTGCACCCGCTGCCCCGGTCGCACGGCATGGCGGGCCAGGGCAGCCCCGGCCTCGCGCTGCCCGGCCCGCCCCTAGGCCCGCCCAGCCCGGCGTCCAGCGAGGGCAGCAGCGGCGGCGGCTACAAGCGGCCCCACAGCTGCTCCAAGCTGGGCGCCACGTCGCCGACGACGCCGGGCTCGGACGACTCCAGCAGGCCCAACCTGTGCCGCATCTGCGGCAAGACGTACGCGCGCCCGTCCACGCTCAAGACGCACCTCCGCACGCACTCGGGCGAGAAACCGTACCGCTGCGACGACTGCAACAAGTCCTTCAGCCAGGCCGCCAACCTGACGGCGCACGTCCGCACGCACTCCGGCGAGAAACCGTTCCGGTGCCCCATCTGCGACCGCCGCTTCTCGCAGAGCTCCTCCGTGACGACGCACATGCGCACGCACTCCGGCGAGCGGCCCTACCGCTGCCGCCTCTGCAAGAAGGCCTTCTCGGACTCGTCCACGCTCACCAAGCACCTGCGCATCCACTCGGGCGAAAAGCCCTACCAGTGCAAGCTGTGCCTGCTGCGCTTCTCGCAGTCCGGCAACCTCAACCGCCACATGCGCGTGCACGGCGGCAGCGGCGTCCCCGGCGGCCCCAACAGCCCCGGCGTCAACGTCGGCGCGCAGCTCATGATGATGCCCGGCGCGTGAAGGCTCAAGGCCGCGTCACCGGGTGGGAAATGTCAGCGTCAGCGTGATAATCACTTTCGGAGTGATTGTCCGGAATGGGGCATCCCTTCGCGGCCCTGCCGCCACGTGAGACGCCGAGGCCACCGAAGGCGGTCGAACTCTAAAACGTGTGTGTGATTTAGCGTCTCAAAGCCAGCAGCCGTCGCTTAGTTTTTGTTGTTTATTTCTATTCTCGCGGGGTTTTCGTACGACCCGAGTGTGCAGTCCGGACGAGGTGGACGGTGACGCCACGAATCGATCGGTCGAAGTGCGCGAAGTGGGACGTCGTTATCACGGCAATCGCCGCGCTGCCTGGCTGGCCTACCTGCCCTGCCCGCCGCGGGGAAGGACCGCGTCTGGACGCGACGCACTGCAGTGCAATTAACTCCTTGTTTACCGAACTGGTGCCAAAGATGATTTAATGTTTGTTTCTTTTGCTCTCTTTTGTTTTCTTTTTCTCTCTCTCGCTATATGATCTCATTATGCCAGCTACCAAAATGTATCATTTCGTGTATTATATTTATGCTTACGTTTAGTCACTATTGTAAATGATTGTATTACACAAGAAAAGACACGACACAAGTGCAAGTACGTAAAAGCGTTCGACTTGTTTTTTTTTTCAACGCATTTCAATTCCTGCGGGCGCGTCCCGCAATCCCTTGGGCCTACACTCTAAATGTCTTACGGCGAAAGGCTGCACAAACATATTGCGGTGGAGATGTTCACCATAATACAAAAGAAATTCGACAAAATATTTAGAAGTAACGTACGATGAGTTTTTAGAGGTGAGGCACAATGAAAGCTGCTCCACCACAACATGAGGAACTTTCGCCATCCCTGGTGAATCTTCACCGTAAGACTTTTAGAGTGCACGTACGTCGCAACAAAGTAGAGGCTCAGGAGCACAGTGGCAGAAGGTTTACGCTGTACAGTCGGCGGGCTCGTCGTCGGCTAGGCCCCGAGCCACACCCCGACAACGCCCCCGCCGCGCCCGCCAGCTATCACAGGGTTATTAAGCCGGATTTCGGCTTCGGCACAGAGCGCGCGCGACGCACAGTTCGGAATGAACCTGCCCGCACCTGTCGCAGGCTTCGGAGGCGTGACCGGCACACCGGGCCAAGCGGCGCATGGCGCATCGAGGCGCATCCGGCCGCGTACAGTAACAGTGGCGCGCCAAGCCGCCAGGCGAAGGCCCTTGCACACTGCGAGTCGAGGTTCCGCCACTGCGACCAGCCACTGCGACCAGCCCTTGGAGCGGCCTATCGCCGCCGACGCTTGGCGAGCAGGGTCTTGGCGGCGTCCGCCGCGAGGCAGCCCGGCGCGCCCATGACGCCGCCGCCCGGGTGCGCGCCCGCGCCGCACAGCAGCAGTCCGGGGACCGGCGTCATGGGGGCCATGGCCTCGGGGACGTTGAGGGACCCCGCGGGGGTCACCGGGCGGCAGAGAAACAGCTGCGACAGCCCCATGCTGCCGTGGAAGATGTTCTGCGGGCACAAACAATGTCAAAGAGAAACTAAAAATGAAAATCGGACTGGAAAAGCAATTTAACGAGTACGGTGCGTGGTACTACGTACGCCTCCAGTCAGGCCGAAGATCCTCTCGAGGTCCGGCGGCGGCAGCACCTCCTTGCCCACCACGCTGTCCTTGAAGCCGGGCGCGTACTCCTCGATGATGTCGAACACCTGCGCCGCCGCGCCGCCAGGCACATCAGACAGACGAAACACATTGCTCCACATCGCACGAGAGTTGCGCCCGAGACGACGATAATTCAGTCGCGTCGGTCAGTATCGACCAGCGCCGCCAAACAAAGACAACAACAACAAAAACGAAACTCACTTTGGCGGCGTACTCCTCCTTGGCGGCCTCCCCCCACCCGGCCGGGGGGTCGTACGGGGTGTACTGGGTGAAGAGCAGGCACACATGCGCGCCCTCGGGTGCGATCGTCTTGTCCAGCACGGAGGGAATGACCATTTCGATCATCGGTCTGGAAACAAATGACTGTTGAAAAAGGAGGAAGAGCAGGTCCAGCTTCAATGCCTGCGGCCAGAGCGGAGAAAGGCGTACCTTTTGGAGACTTGTCCCCGTTTGGCGTCCTCATACGCCTCGTCCAGCAGGGACATGTCTTCACAGTTGAGGTGAATCGTGGTTTGATGGTGCGGTAGCGGCTGGCCTGCCTTGACGCAGGGGTCCGCGAGGAAGTTGGGTAGTCTGCTCACCGCCACTGCAAAAGATGTTGCACTGTGACTGCTGGGCACCGCGACGATTCAACGTACATTTAAAAAAACAACAAAAAAACAGTGTGGCATACCATTAATTTTTGTGACAGGGGAAGTGTAGTCGATACCACGGACCGCTTTTTCGTATGATTCCGGGAGGGTACCACTTGGCAAAAAACTGAGGAAAGTCACCTTTGCTGTTGTGTTTGATAAAACCAGGCGGGATTTTATCTCTCTCCCGTCTGCAGTCACTACACCAACAGCCCTTCCACAACTGTCCAAAAGAATTTGCTTGACAGTCTGGAAGAGGTGAATGAAAACAATGCCGGTTATACTTCATAAGCAAAAGTAAAAACCTAAAATGGGGAAGACAAACAAATCCGAATGTTTCTTATCGGTCTTTTTATAAAACTCCCTTAAATAAAGTTGCAAAATACATACAATTTAACAGGATCAGAAACATATCAATTGCACTTAATCTCAACAGTAGAATGGTTATGGAAATAAAAATTAAGATATATGTGTGGCTTGTTATCTGACTGTACCAGGATACTGCCACCAGATTAGATAAGGGTTATACTCTTAAGCTGCAAGTCCTGCCAAAATATCACCATCAAAGCCTGTTATGCCTCAGTCCGTTCAGTGGAGCAGGTGATTGATGGCAGGTCAGAGAAGCCAGTGCTTGTTTGAGGGGGATACATTTTGAGGCTGTGATATCATCAAAGTTCAACGGCAAGGGAAAATTTTGTGAAAAGAGGATTGACATATGGTTAAGGTAAGATTAAAAATCAGCAGTCCCTAACATTCATTTTTTTTTTTTTTTTGGCATGACCTATAAATAATCCCAGATGTTTCCTCCAATGACTAGATGAATTGACATATTTGTCGGGTTAAAAAGACAACCTCCTTTTATGCAAAGGAAATTTGTTGAAACCTTAATAAAGGCAGCCCAAAAAAATGACTACCAGGAAATTTATTCCAAAATTTTTTGCCAAACCCTCTGATGGCAAGAAAACCACTCAAGGGGAAACACCTACTGTGGACAAAGAGAATTTTAAAGACAGTGAATTTGAGGACTTTAGTAGCACCTATAAGACCCAAAAGCTGCACAGGTAAAATCTTATCAAATTATTAAAATAAATAATGAGCATTTTTGTTACATTACTGAAAAACAATAACTAAAATTCTAGGTCGAGATCTGGGCGACTCAAGGAATTCAGCAAACTCAGATTAGCTCTATCCAAAGATACATTTGAGGCTCCCTCAACTGCACAAAGTGCTCCTGTCACATCAATGTCGAAACCAGCCAGTGGATTGGGTGGAAGAGGTGAGTACTTGAAATAAAGATTTGCAATAACATATGGATAGTTGTGTCTATTTATGAAATGTAATTCTCAGAGCTGCCAGGGTTTGAGAAAATGAGAGTCAGCCGGTCACTCCAGTCTCACATTAACCCATCTGCGGACGGCACCTCAGCACCTCCAAGAAATTCATCAGGGGAAGACAATTTCAGATATGGTCTCGATGAGAATGAAATATTTTAAACACCCATGACTTACTATTTAGATTTTTTTATGCAGCCATTTGGGAGGCATCTTTTGTGATTATCATTATGTTTCTTATTATTAAAATAGTTATAAGTTTTGAATTGTGATTTAGGCATTTAAGGTAATAAATAAATAAATGTGAGTGACCAATGCACTTATATCAGTCCTTTGAGTCAAATTATCACCTGATCCGTGAAAATGCTGGCTCCATGAGATGTTGCTGAAGAGGCAAGTGCCTGAGTGACTGCACCCATGCCGCCCTCTGGATAGCCCCAGGCTCCCCTCTTGCCCTCAAGCTCGCCCATAACGTGGTGGAGTAAGACGTACCTATTGATACAAAAGAAAGACTAAAATATGATGTTATTGTAAAGCACCAATCAGTTGAGAAATATGGAAAGCATTTACCCTCCACCTGGGGCATGTGTATCATGCATGGCACCAATCAAGGCATCTGTAGCAAGAGTTGCTCTCAAGGGTTCAGATTCAAACCATCTATCCAAAATTTGCCTAACAGGAGCCATCAAAAGCTGCCATGCTGCTGGTAGTTCTGGTCCCAATTTGGCAAGGCTTACTCCTAAATAAAAAGAGAAGATTTTTCTTAATCAACAACTCACATAGATACAATTCTATGTTAAATGCTAGAACTTTACCTGCTTTGGCAATACTTGGTTCATTAAAAAGCAATGAAAGTTTTCCCCATATTGACGAGTTGTTGACAAAGTGCATTGCAGTAGAGGGAGACAAATCTAGAAGAGGATCAAGGGCTTGCACAATTCTCTGGAGCTGTTCTTCATATTTAGTATAGGCCTGCAGAAGAGAGCAATTATTATCTCGTAATGTAAAAGAGAAAGGGCGACGCACAATAATACGACTGACACACCTCTGCATCCTTTATAGAGAACTGAGAGATTTGTTGAAAGTTGAAGGCTTCATCTTGACCAAGCGTTAGAGATCTTGCTTTTTTAGTATTCCAAAACTTTTCAGAAAGAGGTGTATAGGAGCTTGGATTTCGCAAATGGACTTTCAACCCAAACTTCTACTTGAGAGAAAATGAGATGCTTAGAGTGCTGGAAACTAAGTTTATGTTGATTCAATTCAGAGTACAAGAATTAATGACTCACCTTTAGCTCTAGGTCCTTGTATATTTTAGGCCGCAACAAGCTAAGAACATATGACGCACGAGAAAACTTGAAACTAGGTATGATTTCCTCAGTGACAGCAGCTCCTCCAACAACAGATCGCTTTTCCAGAACACAAACATTAATGCCACTTCTTTGAAGGTATCCTGCAGCAACAAGTCCATTGTGTCCTGAAAAAGAAACCAGACAAACAACAGATATTAGCGTCATCCGTTTCGAGAACATTTCCTACTCTAAAAAGTTAGTTACCTCCACCAATGATGACAACATCATACTCAGATTTAGGCACATATGGGTCAACTTTCGAAGAAAAAAGCCTCCGTGACAACTTGGAATTTCTTAAAATCTGAGACTTCATTATATTTCTCTAGGTTATTTCATCAAAACACCAGCTACTGTTGGACTCCCAACACTCGAGATCACGCCGGCACTGACATGCCATCTCCCTGTAGCGGCTATCCCTTATCAGAATCGACTTCTTGGTTCTTTCTTATCGCCGAAAGTTTTCATGAGAGTATGTTCTGTCAGCAAACAAATAAAAGGAAAGAGATGGTATGGGAGATAGAAATACGGTTGTGTTGTTGTGTTTCCCGCGGATGTACCTATTCGCAAGGCTTTCCTGCGTGCAGGAGAATCCTGCGCATAGGTCGTAACACTATTCGCAGAAGAATAGTAGCATCCGAACGATAGATTTCTCATACTGCTGTCTGCCGTGTGTTTACGTCCGGTGCGTGCGTTGCGCAAAGTTGCGGCTTGAGAGGAAAAGGGGAGGAGTGCACGCTGCCGCTGCCCGTGGGCCGAGGTCTGTCGCTTCCAGAGCTTCCTCCGATCGCCGCCAGGAGAGGGCACTTGGCGCTAGGGTCGCGCCGAGCCGGTCGTCTGCGGTTTCGAGTCTGCAGGCACGGAACCACATTTTGGTGCATGCTACTATGTGAAAACTAAACGCGTGAGACCCAAACAGAGTATTGCCGTGGGTTCTTTAGAGCTTTAAGTGGCGGAAGATTACACAAATAAGTAGAATCTTTTCAAATACAACGCAAAATAAATGAAAACTGTCAGTAAGGTAGCCGCCAAGAGCGCCCTCCGTGGCCAACGGCGAATGGTGGAAGCTCTAGAAGCGACAGACATCGGCCCACGGCTCCGAACGGCAGTTTACGGCAAATTATTTATATTTAGGATTTTTTCTCTCAAAATTTAAGTTGATCTTCCACTAGTTCAAGTATTTCTGTATTCAAAAAAAATTGCCCGTGACCCTTTTGAAATCAGCCGTAGCCTAGCGAACCTGCACCAATTAGGTCTGCATTTTCGACCGTTGCGGATGTCAAACCACATGGTGCTAAGTTCATCTTGGTCGTTCAGCTTGTTTTGACCGTCTCAAGTACTCTTTACACTTCGTCACAAAAATGTCAGTCCCATCGAAGAAGCGTGTTCTAGATCCGAAGAAGAAAGTGGAAGCTGACTCAAGCAGCGATGATTCGTCCAGTGACGAAGACGATTACAAGGGAGGAGAGGTACTGCCACTGATGTCTCAAAATATAAGTTTAAGTAGTTTTACGAATCTGTTACAAAAACGTATAAGGAATGATACTTGAAGAGAAGTTTCTTCAAAGTGGTGGTCATTCATCCTACATACCTATAAAAGGCAAAAGTTGCCCTGGGTCCAGGTTATGTTCATTCATTTCATTTTAGTAAATTGCCTTTACCCTCCTTGATTTCAGCAAATACAGGTTGAATTTGAAGGTAGGATACCTGTTGACTCTGACTTTCATGGAATCAAACAGCTGCTGCAACAGCTCTTCCTGAAGACGCACCTCAACATATCGGACCTTGCGGAGTTGATCATAAAGCAGAACTATGTTGGCAGTGTTGTAAAGGTATCGTAATTAAAGATATGCTTCTTTCATTAAATTTATTCTTCATGACTTATTCGGGGCTATCAATGTCATTCTTTTACAGCAATGTGATGATAATCCAGATAGTGATGATGATGATGATGATAGCATGAATGTGGACGATGACGTTTTTGGAATAACCACTGTCATAAACCTCACAGACAAAAGGGTATGCATTACTCTCTTTTCTCCATTTCTATTTACCTCTGTTTTCCTTGTTTAATTTTGTTGTCTCATTTCAGAGCATGGGATGTGTTTCACAACTTCGGGATCTACTCAAAGAACACAGTTCTAAACATGGAGATGACCGAACTATAGCGAAAGTTAAGCAGCTGTTAGATGATGAAACCAAATGTACAGGACTCCTCATCAATGAACGCTTTGTCAATATACCTCCCCAAGTAGCTGTTCCCCTTCTCATGAGCTTGAGGTGCTGTTCATTCATTTAAAATAATTTTATGTGGTTATTGTGGTTTTTTGCTAAACTTTAATAATTTTCAGAAAGGAAATGGACAAAGCCAAAAGCCGAAATATGCCATTTAATTTTGAGTATTTGATTCTGATTTGTAAATTATACAAAGTAGACTCCATGAAGAAAAAGTCCAAGAAAAACAAAAACAAGCCAGATGAGCCTGCAGTCATTTGGTCAAATGCTGAGGAAGAAGTCTTTGAAGAGGTATGATTAAAACACAAGTTCTTCTCATCCTCATTTAAAGTATAAATTTTTATCAAATTGTGTCTTTGCAGGTTGCGGACTGCAAATTTGAATTTTGTGTCAAGGATGACTCTGATTCTGGTCTGGGTGGTAAGTGGCATGAAGATGACACAGAAATGACTCCTTGGCGAAAAGTTCTTATTTTCCATGCTTCAAAGTTGGATGAGGCGATAGAAAAAGTAACTAATCTAATTCAGCAATAAATTTTTTCCTTTACTATTCATGACTGGTTATTTCTTTAAATAAGTGAGTCAGTTTGAAAATGATGAAATATTACATTGCTCTTGACCGCATGCCATTTTCTAACTTCAAATTACCTTTGTTGTATAAAGTTCTTTTCTCTATGACCAAACTTGAGGAATAGTGTTTAATTAATTGTGCAAATTGTTGAATACAGTTTATTGATCATCAATCATATGAGATTCCTTATTAAATGCCTACTATAGTACATCCAAGTTCGAATCTAAAACATACTATGTACAAGAATTCTTCATGATACTAAAGGAACTTGTCCTCGGAACTAAGATGTAAATTAAAATTAAGGCATTATGCAATGCATTGGTCCAACTTATTTATTTCAGTCAAAGCTACTTTTGTGCTTTGGAGTAAAGTTCTATTTAAAGACAGTTAATGTTAAAAAAATATTGTATATGTCAGCATTTTAATAAATTTCCAGATTTTTAATGAGCAAATAGTGGTATGCAAGTTTAGGTTACCCTTCCCGCAACATAAATACGAAATAAAGCACCAGTATTTACAATTAAAGCAATAATACTCAATATAGTCAATGATAACTTACAGCTAGATATTAAGTATTCACTCGGCTTAAAAGGAATTTTGTAAAAGTACAAATGAAGTCTTGGTCATCATCTCAAATCCTAAGCGGTTGAAGATATAACTACTATTTACAAGTCTTACAAAGACAAAACACAACATGAGAAAAAAAACATTACTTTGGCACTACACAAAGCACAAGTAGTGGGTGATTTTTCGGTCTCATCAATAAGATTGGCAACAGATTTCTAGATCTATTTATCCTATGATCAATATGGCTCAAATCATCCATTAAATAAATCACTGCAATACCAGTGGAAACAGGTCAAAATTATGTTAGGCAGTAATAAAATAAAGCTATACAATGACCAACATAATTTTGACCCTTGAGTTAACAGAGCAGTTTTTCATTATCTTACAGTTTCTCCTCCTCATGGAAAACACAGTTGCATAACAATAACAGATTTTGTGTTGGTTCCTATCTATAAAGCTACATCTCTGGGTGCTTCTGAGGGTACTGAAGCATTGTCTGCAGCTGCCTTGGGACGACGTCTCAGGGTACCCAGAATGTTGAGCATTTCCGTTACTGCCGGCGGCTCTTTCTTTTCCTTCTGCAAATTTTGCTGTAGGAGGAACAGACCGAAAATTTTAATCCAGTGCAAAGCGCATAAAAAGCTACACTTCAAAAAATTAAACAGGTATTTAAGTACTCACCTCTGTTGCTTTTAAGGTGAACCGTCCACCTTTGATTTCGTTAATGATATTGTCGATGGCACCTGCCGAGCAAACGAAAGAAGTCATTTAGTGGAGTGCGAGAGAGGGGCTGGCAGTTCACTCGGTGTGAGAGAGAGAGAGAGACAACGGCACACCTCCTGGGATTGCCTCCGGGACCTGCGGCTTGCGGGGAATGCCCAGCAAGTTGGCCATGTCCTGGACGGCCGTCAAGTTCCTCTCGGCGTTGACGAGGTCCTCGCTGGAGCCGGTGGCGCTGCTGCCGCCGCTGCCGCCGCGGGTGCGCAGCTTGACGGCCGCGACGCCGCCCCCGAGGCCGAGGGCCGGCATGGGCGGGGGTGGCGGCGGGGGCGGCATCGGCGGCGCCATGGGCGGTGGAGGCGGCGGCGGCGCCGCGTTCTTGCGCTCCTCGAGGTCCTTCTCCATCTGCGATACTGGTGGACAGGGAAAATTAATTTTCGCTTCGGCCAAAGAATGAAACTCTGGCGGTGCGCAGAACTTGCAGTGCACGTACGCCTTTCTCGCAGCTCGCAGCTCTCGCGCTCGGCGCGGTCCGCCCTGGTGGCGGCGTGCCGCAGCTCCTCCTCGGCGATCTTGAGGCGCTCGTCCAGCATCTCCACCTCGTCGCCGTCGCCGTGCGGCTCCTGCAGTGCCTGCAGCTCGCGCACGCGGCACCGCTCCTCCTCCAGCAGCCGCTTGAGGTTCTCCACCTCGGCCAGCATGGGCAGCAGGCGGTCGTCCTGGGACAGCGCCTCGGCCAGCAGCGAGCTCTGGTGCGCCATCACGTTGCGCTCCTTGACGGCCTGGAAAGGGAGAGGAGCCGGGTTCAAGTCCTGCTAGAGCCGGCTTTTCCTGGCGAGCGCGCAGCACGGCGCAGCACTCACCATGTCGGCCTCCGTCTTCATGCGCCTCGCGGCCTGCCGCTCCTGCTCGCACTGCTGGCGCAGGGCCGCCACCTCCTTCTGCACCAGGCTCGCGGCCGCCGCCATGTTGTCCCTGAGCGCCCTCAGCTCGGCCAGCTCAGCCTGCGTGCGCCGGGACTCGTCCAGCTCGGCGGAGGCCGTGACGGCCGCCTCCTGGGCCTCGAACTCCTGCAGGCGGGCCGCGTTGAGCTCGGACTGGAGGCGCGCCACCTCGCCACTCAGACCTGCAGGGGCAACACAAACCGGGCTGTTCGTTTCGATTCCGCGCATCTTCAAACATCATGAAATGAAGGACAGCGAGACTCACGTTTGACGGTGTTGCGCAGGTCCTCCAGGTCGTCCTCGTCCTTGGCCGCCTGCGCCGCGTCCGTCTCGTCGGCGAGGAGGTCCAGGAGCGCGCCGTCGGGCTGCACCTGGATCACCTTCTGCATGATGGCGGTGGAGCGCCGCTTCAGCTCGCGGTTCTGCTTGTACCACTGCAACACCACACAAAGCACACATTAGCCGTCAGTTGACTGTCTCTTTGTGTTTCCCGCCCGACTACTTGATCGGCCTAATCGTGTCCCTGTTCAGCAGGACGCTTCCGAACAGCACTTTCGTCGCGCTGTCTCTCTCGCACTCTCGGGGCGTTCGGCAGAAGTGCGAGAGAGATAGAGCCGCTGTTCGCAATGGCGCTACAGACGGCTGCCGCAAACGGCTAATCGCCAATCAAACTCACTCTCGTCTGCTGCAAGTGCGCAGCGACAGAAGCACGTACAAGAGCAGCCAGCGGGTAAAGCAAAAGTGCACGTTTCGAGGGTTTGAGTGGGAAAGGCACGGGCAGGGCTCTAGCACGTCATGCGAGGGGGCGCGGTAAAGGGGGAAGCCCAAAGGGAAAGGGGGGGGGGGGCTGACCCTGCCGAGAGCCGCCGATTAGGCTCTTCCTGCAGTTCCAGTTGGCACAGTCGCACACAGGGGCCTGCGTCATGCACTGGGGCACTGGGCCTGCGGACTCGTCACCGTCACTCCCTTCCCTCTCAGTCGCACTCAAGAGGCGTTGCATGGGGGCACGAGAGAGACAGAGCGAGACGGCTCTTCGGGGCCGCTCGGCCGGCGTGTGCTGCTCGGCTCACCACGCGCGTCGACGTGAACGTGCCAATACGTACGCGGCTGTGATTGGGTGGATTGGGGAATGCCGCCGCGCGAGACGGGATTCGAACCCGAGACCAAGGCTTCGCGGCTACACTTACAGACGGGGGTCCGTACATCCTGCTGGGTGCGTCTGAGGGCTCTGCAGACTGCGCCCCAGCCCTCTGCGAGGGGTCCGCGTTGCCGTCCTTGCCCCTGCGGGGCAGCGTGTTCCACTTGGCCGCGGTGGGCGAGGCGGGCGGCCCGGGGTCCGGAGCCGCCACGGCGGGCGCGTATCGCCCTGACACGGATACCCCCTTGTCGGGCAGCCTCTCCGCCGCGGTGCGGTCGCCACTGCGCCATCCTGGGGCGGCTGGCTTCTCCGCGGGGCCGTCCGCTTTCTGGCGGGGCAGGGTGGCCGTCGAAGTGGAGCGTCCCCGCCAGGACGGCGCCACGGCCTCGAGGTACTTGCGGGTGGGCGGCGGCGAGGACTTGGCCCGGTCTTCCTGGCGGCTCCTGTAGGGCGACGTCGTCCTGCGTGGATCGCTGCTCTGCCGTTGCCGAGAGGGGAAGGCGCACTCCGCCTCGGCCTCCTGGAGGGCCTTCTTGGGCTTCTCCCAGGTGTGCCGCGCTGACTGCGTCCTGGGCAGGGTGCTGAAGACCCCCGACAAGACCGTCTGGGACCTGCTGATCGCCTTGGAGCGCTGCAGCGGCCCGTCGTCTTGGTCGTCGCCCAGAGACGCGCAGGATTCGCTTCGCTCCGGCGGCGTCCTCCACCGCGACCAGTCCTTGCAGCTCCTCGTCGGGGTGGCCCAGGACGCCGTCATCCTGTCGCCGCGCTCCTCCCGGTCCGTCGACGTCGTGGTGGTGCCACCGCAGCACGGGGAGACGGCGACAGACAGCCGTGCGCTGGCCAAGACCGTCAAGGTCCCCCTGGCCGCCCTGTCCGGAGACCGGCCGCTCCGCGACGACCGCGGCAAGGTGCTGCTGCTGCCGTAGCCGCTGCTGCAGGTGCTGCTGTACCCGCTGTTGGGGTCGTCGTCGCTGACGTTGGCGCCACAGTCCGCCGACTTGCTGCTCTTGGAGCCACTGTTGTTTCCGTCGCCGCGCAACGCCGACAAGTACCTCTCCGCGACGGAGGTCCTGGGCGCGTCCGGCCTCCGGCCCAGGCCGTCCGGGACCCGCGACGCCTTCACGTCGGGCACCATGGCGATGCCGAGCTCTCGCACTGTGGGGAATCAGTCACTACACTGGATGTCAGTCACTTCACTGGTGTCACTGCACTAGGCTTCCACTGCACTAAGTCCCCGCCAAGACTGTCACCGCCGCGTCCTCGCCGCCTCGCGCGACACCGAGATGATGGCACTCAAGCAGATGGACTGACTGGCGCTCTGGACCGCTCCGGGCCCTTGGCCGGGCGGGCGACAGAGTGCAGGGTGGGGGTGGCCGTCGACGGGGCGGGGCGGGGCGGGGCGGGCGGTCTGTGACGGCACCCATGCCGATAACGACGGGTGCCCCGGCCCACAACTGGTTCGGCATGCGAATGAGTCCCTGCCTGCGCCATGCCTGCGCTAATGCGGGGGTTCGACGGTTCGTTTCGTTGCGATGATTCACCACTAGTGCGGCCTGTGCGGTCCTTCGCTGCTTCGCTGGCGGCAGCTGGAATTGGCGATTGCTTATCCCGCGGCTGCTCTGAGAACCACTCCTGCGTCGTTGCGGCCTCGACGCGGACCACGCCACTTTGGCGGTTCGCGGGTTCGAACCCCGTCGGGTGCCACCCTTTTGCTAGGTGTTTGTCCTCGTGGCCTCGCACCCCGAGGACCGCGTGCACCGCGGTCACACCACGCGTGGAGGGTCCAAAGGCCGCTGGGCGCGCCGGGGTGGCGGGGGCCGCGGGGGACCGCGACGGCGCCGAGCCCAGGGTGCCGAGGGCCTGTAGGGCGGGCGTGGCGACGGCCTGGCGGCGGCCGGCCAAACAAGCGGCGCGAAAATGAATAGGGAAAGGAGGACGGGGTGCCGGCCGGGGTGTCGCTGTTGACGCTCTTGACGTCGGCGGCAGGGAGAGGGGAGGGCGGCAGGTGGGGGCGGTGCGGGGCGGCCAGACGCAGATAGCAGCGGACCGGAAGTGAAGTGCAATGCCGAGGGTAGACGGGGTGGCCGGACGGACCCGGGACGGACCACAACCCCTTCGCTCATCGCGGTGCCGCGAGGTCGTCGCCGTTGCCGCCCCCAGGTCCTCTCTGGGTCCGCGGTGGCGCGTAGGAACAGCACACCCGTTCCTCTCGCGTGTTGGCGTGTTGACGCGCACCTCGTGGCGGTGAATTGAACCAATGGGGCAGGCAGGGGCAGGCGTCTGCAGGGCGCCCTCGGTGAAAGGGCTGCTCGGGGTCGCCGCCGGCCGTCCGTGGGGCCGCCGGCTTATCAGTCGTCGCTCTGTCTCTCTCGCACCTACGCGGAACGCCCCACGGGTGCGAGAGAGACAGCGTGCGTCTGCGCACAACGGTGCGCCAGGCCACCCTCGCCACTCATACGTAAATAGGGCGTCGTCAAACAACAACAATGAGTGGCGGCCTGCCTGCCGGCCTTCCGAACGGTCGAAAGTGACATTTCTGCCCCGCAGTGCCGCAGAGAGATACCGCCTCGTGCTTTTCCTCCCCGCCCCTTTCCCCGCGTCCACTGCCACTGCCGCGTGACCGCGTGCGTGCTATTCGCGACTACCGCCGCGGGCTGCGCAAACGCGCTGGCTCAGCACTTGATAGTGGAGCTGGAATCCGGGGTTCAAAACCTCAAGCGGCCAGTAATTTTTTTCGTAATTTTGGAAAGTCTTTGGAGGCGCCAGCGCGTCCCGCGTATCAGTGGCCGCGCTCGCCTTCCGCGACACCCGGACCACGACAGCACCGCTCTGGTCGTCGCTCCGTCTCCCTCGCACTCACGGCGCCTGCCGCAGGGGTGCGAGAGAGAAGCACGCACGTGCCGCCCTCGGTGCTCGGCCCGCTCGGCCCGCCGCTGCAGTAATGACGGGATTAAGATTCCGGCCGGGCCGAAGACGGAAAAGCAAAAAACAAAAACTATAGAAGCAGCAAAAGCACCGACAACAACGCCGCGTTCCCTCTCGGCGGTGACCTGACCCGCATCTCAGCCTCAGCGACGACGTGCGGCTGTGACAGTGGCGTGCCGTCTTGCCTCATCCCCGGCCAGGCCCTGGAGGCCCTGGAGGCGCTGGAGGCCCTCTCAATGGCTCAACGATCTCGCACCGCGCCAATCTAGTGCAGCGGGGCTCGCGGGACTCATAGTCAGTCGCACTCGGTCATGTGGGAAATGTATGCTAATCGTTTCGAAAGGCGCGGCGGCCTGCTGCACTTTTGTGCTGCACTTGTGCTGCACTTGTGCGAAGCGGCCCCATGCACCGAGGCCCCGCCGACCAACTCACTCACTCACTCACCTCCGAGGCTCTCTGCATCGCCTGGTGCATGGCTCCCGTCTCCACCTCGTAGCGGTTCTTGAGCTGGTCATACTCCTTGTACACGCGCTCCGACACTGGCAACAGGGAAGCAGGCGAAGCACTAATTAGAACAATCGGGGCATAAAGAGCGCTGGAAAACTAGAGAACAGGGGCACAGTCTTCGCCATGGTCTCCGGACTGGGCCGGGTTGGACGAGCGCGAGCACTATGGGTTGGTTGCCAACAGCGAAAGTGGATTAAGTACATGGTAGAAATTTATTATGGGAATCACTTTTGAATGAGTAGTTTTGTGACACGTTCCTCTCATTTTGTCCGAACCCTGTGGTTTTTAACTTAAAATTTTCCCTAAAAAAGAGTGTCTTTGATAACTAGTGCGAGTTTTGCCCAATCTTCTAAAAATTTATTTCAAGAAATTTTCCTCTCTTTCCTTCGTTGCACTTATTTTTTTGTCTATTTTTTTCTCTTTGCTCGGAAGCGGCGCAGCGGCTCGGTTTGGAAATCGCACCGCCGGTCCAGTTCCGCCAGAAGTCCATCATCGCCAATGTTGCAACGCACACTTCATTAGGCCCCCCGGGCCGCCCTGGCTGGCGCACTGCTTTTCGTTTCACACCGCCCGCCTTCCTTCCCGCCCGTCCGCGGCCTTCTGTCCGGTCTTGGCCGCCACGCCGCGCGCCACGCGCCTCAATGCCCCGGGCCGGCTGCCTCTGGCTGCCTTTGCATTTCTCACCGCCACTGCATTAGCACGACGAGGGAGAGGAGCGGGTTCCTCTGTCTCAGCCCGCCGCCGCCGGCTCGCGCCAGCCTCCGAACGGCGCTGCGTCTCTCTCGCCCCCCTACGGTGCGCCGCGCGAGCGGGAGAGAGACAGGGCGACGACTGCACTGTCTTCGGAACCTACCGGCCGCGGGCTGCCATAGGATGTTAGCGATGCAAGTGCCGAAGCCCCGCGAAGCCCCGCGAAGCCCAGTGGGGCCCGACTGGAGAAAGCGAGTGACTCGCGTCCGCAAAGTCGCGAGGGAACCGAAGGGAACGCACCCAATCACGCAAATCGAGGGGCGAGGGGCGGGGGACGCAGTCCGAAGCAGTCGGTCAGTGACCACCACCGGCCACCGGGAGGGCCTTTCGCTAAATCCACGAAATCGCCGAAGGATCGGTCATATTGACGGCATCCTCTACTTAGTGTACCTTCACGTGTCCATGGTTATGGCCGCCCACTGTGTTCAACACAGTGCAGCACCTCACTCGTCTTTCTACAGCTGCAGGAAATATTGGCAATATCCGGGGGAAGCAACGCTCTGCCGGCCTGCTGCTGCTGCTGCTGCCGCGGGACGCATCGCATTGGCAAATCAATTCCCGCGTCGACCTGGTGCAGCGGAGGCGGCGCGGGGGAGTCAGTATACACACGTTCTTGTGGCGGAGAGTCTTTTCCGGGTCCGCCCGCCCCGCCGCCGCGCTCCACCGCGCCACGCCGCAGCGCCGCCGCGAAGCAGCGTCGCGGCCCGGGTTCAATTCTCACACGAAACTGGAGCGCGCAGTTCTCGCCTGGAAATCTTAATGTCGGTTGCAACGACGCCGCCATGCCGACGGCGCACCGCGGCGCACCGCGCGGGAAGGGCGGCCGCGGCGGCGCGATGGACGTTACTGCTTTTGTCCGGCCGGACGCGGCCAAGTACTAAAAAGAAGCAAAAACCGAGGCAAAAACCGCGGGAAACGCGCCGAACCAGAAACAGCGAGCCGATTCGCCAACCCCACAGTGCTGTCGCCGCTGTATGTGTCTCTCTCCCACTCATGGAGGTATCGTGTAGGTGCGAGAGAGACAGAGCGACGACAGCAGTGAACCCGGTAGCCGTTTGCCGCACTAATTCCCCAGGCCCGGCCCTACAGCCCGCTACAGTGCAGCAGCAATGCTCAGTGGATAAAGGCCGTGGGCGCTGGCAGTGCCGGGGATCTGTGTCGCGTCGCGGACCTCATTGGCTCATGAAGGGGATCGAGTGGAGGTGGATCAGTGGCGTCGGGTTTCGCTGGCGCGGCCGGCGTCGCGACGCGCAGAGCACGGACCTAGAACCCAGACCTGGTGCACCGCAAAGGCACCGGAAGTGAGTTCAAAATGTGCAGCGCGGCTTCTGACTCCGGGGTGATTTTCCACCACACCCGGCCGGGCCGTCCTGGACCTCGACTATCGCGGACCATTCCAAATTGGCCGCCACCCACCCTTTCTCTGCGACAGCCCGACGGAACAGATGGGGGTGTTTATACTACGTTTCCTCTGGGCAGCACTCCGCTGCAGTCCAGGACGCCGTCGACGTGTGTGCGCTCTCACTGATAGCAGCCCGGCGCCAGGGTGGCCGTGGCGGCCTTCGGATCATCGCACTCCGTGGAGGCAAGGCCCCCGGTCGCCCGTTCCCACGCCATGTCCGTTGTCACGTCGTTGTCGACTTGCCCGTAGTCCTAGAGAGGGCAGCGGGTCACGCAGACTCACCCTGGAGGTGCATGTGCACGGTGACGGTGGCCGTCGGGAGCGCCATGCGGACGGAGCGCGAGCACGTCGCCGACGAAGAGGGTCGCGCGCGAGGCCGCGGAGTGCGAGCGCGAGCCGCCCCCGCCGGCACGACGGGCACGACAACGGCGGGGCGCGCGCGCAGCAGGACAGGGAGCACGGCGCCGCGGCCGCCAAGACAACAACTGGAAGATGACGGACAGCTCTGTGCAGCTCGCGCGCGCCACGCCCGGGCCCCCGGGCCGCGCATGGCCGGCGGCGCCGCCCCGGTTGCGGCTACGGTTACATTTCCCACGATCCGAGACGCCGAGACGCCACGCCGAGTCGCGGGCGGGGGCGCGGCGGGGGCCACGGACTCGGGCAGGGCCACACTCCGCCCGCCGCCGCCGCTTGGCGGGGAGCCTGCGCGGTAAACGGCTGGTAGTGCGACACCGCGAGGGCCACGAGACGAGGGCGGCCTCCATGATGCGCGCGAGGAGCAGGCACAGAATGACGCTTGCAGACGCGCCACGCCCAAGTGGATTGACTTGTCATTGGAGTCCGCGACCACGCCGTCGTGCGACAATCGGCGGGTATTGGCGCCCGGCTCAAGGCCACGCCGTGTCGCACCGCCGCCATGGCCCTGCTCGCCCCGCTGGAATGCGTGGCCGACAATGTCGCGGGTTCGAATCCCCACTGGTGCGCGCACTTCTAGCTTTGAATGGGGGCGAGGCGCGGCCGCGAGTCCTAACCTAACCTTTCCATTCCACACTCCAAAGTGCACACGCGAGTGTGCCCCCACCCCACACACGTGTCCATAACGGCCAGGGCCCTTATCGCCGTGCTATTGTGCCGAGGCTATCGGCGCTGCGGTCTCCACTTCCTCGAGCCACCCTGGACTGGCTGGACTGGACTAAGGTGCCCATCCGGCCAAAGGAGTAAACAGACAACAACGACGACAACAACGAAAAGAGTGACAAAAACAAGAAGAAACTCACCTGTCCGCAGCTGCGTCAGCTTGTCCTCGCGGTCCTTGAGCTCCCGCTTGGTGGTGTCGTGCTCCTTCTGCAGCTGCTGCAGCTTGCGTTGCAGTTCGGACGCCTCGCGCGCGTCTGGAAACACACCGGGCAACATGAGGGTGCGAACGTACTTCACGCGGCACGCGGCATCGACACAGCCTCCCGGAAGAACCGCGAATGAAACGGAATCATGATCGACGAAGTCAGGATCGGATTCTGAGCTTCGCGACGGGCAGTACGCCCTGGGCAACACCGGCGCGGCGGCGAGCGCAGTCAGCCCGCGAGTCCGCGCGGCGGGCGGACGACGCCGGGCCGGGCACCGACTGCAGCCGGGAGGAGGGAAGGCCGCGCGCAGGATGCTGGCGATACCCCGCGCGCGAGAGACTGTACGCCACGGTGCGGCGGCCCGCGCGACGCGGGGTATCCGCGACGTGGGTCAGCGCGCCGGGCGGGCAGGCAGCCCATTCGACGCGGCCGCGCAACAGGCTGCCTGCCGACCCGGCGGCTGGCGGGCCGGACTTCCCTACAAACCAGGTACTCACTCTTCTCGGAGCTGGTGAGCAAGGCCTTCCTCTTGCGCTCCGCGTCCTCGTACTTGGCTCGCCACTTGTCCGCCACGGAGGGCGACAGGCCGGGGCTGGGCGGCGCGCCGTTGCTGAAGCCGCTGCCGTTGACGGGGGCGGCCGCCGACTTCAAGGGGCTGACGGGGGGCATGCCGTTGCTCAGGGCCACGCTGCTGCCGTTGGTGGTGACTCTGGCGGGGCTCAGCGGCGCGCCGTTGTTGAACGCCACGCTGCTGCTGTTGGGGGCGTTTCTGGGGCTCAAGGGGGCGCCGTTGCTGAAGGCGACACTGCTGCTGTTGCTGGAGGCGTTCCTCGCGGGGCTCAGCGGCGCGCCGTTGCTGAAGGCCACGCTGCTGCCGTTGAGCCTGGCGGGGCTGGGGGGCGCGCCGTTGCTGAAGGCCACGCTGCTGCCCCCGTAGGCGCTGCCGTTGCTGCCGCTCTTGCCGTTGAAGGACAGCCCGGTGACCGTCTTGGTGGGGCTGCAGCCCCCGGACGCCAGCAGGTTGCCGGAGCTGTTGGTGCGACTGAAGGAACCGTTGCTGCTGCTGGAGCTGCCGCTCCTGCTGTGGAAGCCGCCGCCGTTGGCGTTGGCGTTGTTGCTCCCGCTCTGGAACATCTGCGCCCTGGCGGCCACGGAGGACGAGCGCACGGGCGACGGCGAGGTGGTGCCGGGGTGCGGGCTGCCATTGTCCAGGCCCACCCTCATCGACGAGGTGAACTTCTTGGGCACGGGGATCTGCGTCTGCGAGGGCTGGCGGCCCGCCGCGTACAGCGACGTCATCTGCTTGACGTTGCCCGGGCCGGGCCCGGGGGACTTGGTGGACGTGGACATGATGTTGATGTTCATGGCCGAGGTCGGCCGCCCTTCCTTACGAGACCGCTGGTGGCCGCCGCGCGCATGTAAGCGTCGCCGCCGTGGGGTGGCCGCCGCGACCCGCCGCCACGGCGCGTTGACGGCGTCCTTGGCTCGTCACGCCGCCGGCTGGGCTGGTCCGCCCCGTCCGTCCGGGCGCTACCGGGAAAAGCACGCGTCTTTCCAGTGGCGGTGGCGGCGGCCTTGGGATGAGTCACCGTGTTGTTGTTTCGGCGAGTCCTGCAGCCGGTCGCCCGGTCCCCGGCCAGGCACTTCGGCGCGGGAGTGAGTCAGCGCGGCGCGGCCAGGCACGGCACGACGCCGCGGGGAGGCGATGAACCCCGTCGCCGTGGAGGCTGCAGCCGCTGCGGCCCTTCCGACTGGACCCGGACGACCTGGACACAGAGAGCAAGCGGGGGATTAGGACCAGGGCCTCGACCTGGACGGCCAGCACAATGCACGGCTGGCGATGCTGGCGCTGCTGGCGGGGCAGAGAGAAAGCCGAATCCATGTCGGACAAACGAGCCGAGACAGCGGAGCCAGCCCCGTGGGTGTCCCGGCATTCCCTGGTGGTTCGAACAGTGTGTTGTAAGACAAATCTCCGAGGCGGGCCTGGGTCGGGCCTGGGCCTCCACAGTCCATATCCACACAAGGCCGCGCAGAGCCGCCCCGGCTCGGCCCCCGAGTGGGTGCCGATTGCTAAAGCCCTTCCCCCTCCGTCGTGTATGTTTTCCTTGCCTTACACTCTTTTTTACGCCGGCGGCCGGGCGGGAGGCGAGGGCGTCACTGCCGCGTCCTAATGGCTCGACGCGTGACTGGGAATAGACAGAACGGAGGCGACGCGCGCCCCGCAAGGCGTGCAAGGCACCGCGTCCCGGACGGCCCCGGCCGTCCCGGCGTCATACGACTGACAGCTTTACGAAATCGGCCAGCTCGGTCTGACGGTCTGACTCGGTCGCTCACGACGTCGCCTAATGGGTTGCGAGGGGCGCGCAGTTTGGCTCGGGTTCGGAACCCTGTCATTTTCATCTTTTCCATCTTTTGATTCCTGACTAAATTGAGTCGACCCTGTCGGAAATGGTCAGCGAGTGAGTAATATGGAGATTAACTGGGGCACGCGCGGGCGGCCAGACAACCCGTCAGAACGTTCACTCCCCCCTGCCGACCCATCGCATCGGCACTTCCCCGCCGAACCGAACCCAGCCCGTCGCGCCGTCGCTGCCTTTTGACTCATCCGGGAGTTCCTCACTGAATGTCCGCCTAAGCGCGGTGGTTAGCGTCGTCGGCCAGTTCACCGGCCCGCCCGGGGCCCACCACCTCCTCGCGGCCGCGCCGTCCCAAGTGTGCCAACGGAAATAAGCAGTGAGTCACTAAACCACCCCGCACCGCATCGCCCATCGCGGCTTCCCTCTACGTTCGCCGCGAATGCAGGGCGTCTTCCGGCTCGGCTCGGCTCGGCTCGGCCCGTCAACGCCCCCTCCTCTGCCGGTAGGAATGCACCGCGTGGCGGCGTGGCGAAGAAGGGCCTTCCCTTTCACGGATGGCCTGCACCGCGCCGGGCCGGGCCGGTCCACGCCGGGATGCTGGTGCTTGCTCCGTCTCTGTCGCACTCGTGGGGCGGTCCGCAAGGTCCGCATGCGTGCGAGAGAGACGGAGCGACGAAACGCCGCACGTGCACGCGGGTTTGTCGTCTGGCAGCTGAATGCGCGCTGTGCTGCGCTCGCCGGGCACAACATAAACACCGCTATTCCGGACCAGGATAACCGCCTCAAGACCGAGGCGGCTCGGGGAGGGCGATGCAGGGCGACGACGCCGAGGAGAAGGACGAAGAGGCGCAGCGGCGACGAGGCCGAGCGGGCCGAAACGGAAAATAAACAACCATGACTTCATGTCCAGCGACGTCACTCGCGCGACGAGATGCGCCCGACAGCCATTGTCCGTTCTGCAGCCGCCGGTCCTGCCTCTAAATTTAGGCCAACTCCCTCTGCATTCCAGCGCACATAAACGGACGCCCCCTTTACCCTTTCTCCCAAACCTCCCCCTCCCTCTTGGAGCAGTAATTCAGATGCCGCAAATAGAAAATAAGTCGCCGGGAATCCCCGCCCCGCCCCGCCGGCTGGCTACTCCCACCAGTGCGTGGCGTTGTCTCTCTCGGAATCATGGAGCATCTCGCGGAGTGCGAGGGAGACGGAGCACTGTTCGGGCTCAGCCTGCTGCACTGCACTGCACGCACACATGGCCGTGGCCCTTTCCCGTGTGATCTCGGCCGGGCCGTCCCCGTCGACACCATCGATGAGTGATCTCGCTCCAGACATCCGGTCGCCTGCTGCCGCTCCTGCAGCGCTCTCCGTAGCCGCGGGGTTAGCGGTAGTGCTCGCCGACCCGGAGGTCGGAGGATCGAAAACCCGCTCCCATCTCGTTTTGTTTTGTTTCATTGAGTGGCTCTCTCCAAATCAAATAAATCTTGAGGGCCCTATTCATTCTTCAGGCGGCTGTCCTGGCTGCGCCGCCCGCCAGCCTACGCCCGACTGCCGTGTCGGGGCGGTCCCGAAGAGTCGTTTCCTCGCCGTCTCTCTCGCGCCTCTGCGGCACGCCCTGTGAGTGCGACAGAGACGAACCGACGCACCGGCTCTTGGGCTTCGGTCTGCTGGCGGCTACCCGCGGGCTGCAGGTCGCCCCGCCCGGCCACGCCTTCCCGTAACGAGTACTCGGCGGGCGCGGCGGGCGTGTGGGCAGCACCGAGGCAGTACCCGTCCGGTGCTCGTCCGGTGCCCGTCCGGTACCCGTCCGGTGCGGCGTCCGTCACTGGCGTCGCGACGGCCGCGGTGGCCGCACAGGGCGCCACTTCCTCGTCGGCCTGCGTCGGCCGTCCCTTCCTCGCTTCCTCGTCATAAAAGTGAGGGGCTGCAAACGGCTGCAAACTGGCCGAGACAATGGTCGCCGTGGTTACGCCTGGCTCCGCCCTTTCTCCGCAGGGCCCCGCGGGGCAAAGGGCCAAAGGGCAGGCAGAGGCGGCCAAAGGGCAAGGGGGAACAATGCCGTCGGGGACACACTGCGGCGCGGCGGCGGCGCGCAGGTGACGAGGACCCCGTCGATCCGGGATCTTGTCTCGGCGGGCAGGGAAATGAAAGCCAAAGGTTGATGTGCTGGTGGTCCGGGCAGGCTGCAGCGCGCTCGGCCTCCAGGCCCGGAGTCACAGGATCGAATCCCGCCGGCGGCGCTCTGTCTTTTTCCGAAATGAATCGAGGGGGGAGGTGTCCCTGTTGCACACCACCGCGCAGCAGCAGCAGCGGTAGTACGTGGTGGCCCTGGGCAAGCCGCAGCCCCGCAGCCCCGCAGGCCGGCAGTCGCACAGCCTTCCATTTTAGGCAATGCATGGCGCTGTTCTCCAGGTGACGCCCCCCCCCCTCCACCGCAGCAGCCAGATGTAACAAGGCCTCGCCAAAGGCTGCCAAAGGCCTCGCCAAGCGGCGCGGCAGCGCGGCCCAGAGGGTGCTGGCCGCCGCGAAGCACGCCGCGAAGCACGCCACACACCGCTGGATAAAAAGATAGACAGGCGCGCGTCCACCTTTCATCGGCTGAAAAGCAGGAAGCTTGCTGTCTCCTTTGTCCTCCCTATTCGGACCGTCCGCAAGTAGTCGCTCTCTGTCGCTCTCCCGCCCGCTCCGCTCCGCCTCGCTCTTTGCGTAATGAACTCCCCCACCCCCGCGAGTCCCCCGCCGCCCTACGTCGCCCCGCGCAGGGCTATCTGCCTAATGAGTGAAATCGAACGATGCCTCCGTCTCCCTTCCTCCCCCAGCCGACGGCGCCGACGGCGGCGGGCCGCGAGGAGGACGAGGACGCCGCCAGGACGCCCCACTCCCTCGCGCGCCGCGCGCGCTCGATTTGTAAAGAAAAGCCGCGGGCTTTTCAAAGCGAGCCGGCGAGGCTGCACAACAACGTGCTCCAGTGCAGGCGACAACGCCAATCGGCGCCCCGCCCCGCCCCGCCACGGTCCACGGCGCACCAGTGATTACCGCGCCAAATCGCGGTGTCGTCGCCAAAACACGGGAACGGTCAAACGCCATGGCGAGCAACCTCCACTATTTTTTTGCGGTTTTCGGTGTCTGTATATCGGAAACGGCTACGACTGGTGCGTGGGATAGCTTCCTTCCGGAATCCAATTTTTGAAACTTAAGGAGATAGATGGACATCAGAAAATGGCAAGGAAAGGTCAAGTTGGCACGCGACGCTGGGAAATCGCAGCGAAATGTCAAGTTGGCACGCCCGCGGTGCGTCGTGTCTACTACACTGTACAGCGTGTGGCGCGAACGATAAAGACACGGGCGCTTGTTGTTGTCATCCCGCGCCGTCCAATCCCCACCTGTCAAGGTGAGCCGGTCGCCAGTGACTCGCAGTGCGTCGCGCTGCTGGCCATGCAAGCCATGCAGTGTAGCGGGGAGGGGGGGGGGGAGTCAAGCCCCCTCGGCACTGACCCCGGGGCAGCCGCCACACCGCAGGCCCGGGAAGGCCTTTCTTTAGAAGGCAGCGCAGCGCCGCGGCGCGCTTTAAAAAGTTTAAATGGGCAAAGCATTAATGGGCATACGTACAGTGGAATAGGACAGGAGCGGGCGGCGAGCGCGCCCAGCGGCGCCGTAAGTTTATCGGAATGGCTTTCCGAAAATGGTGTCGGATCGGGTTGGGAAAGACAGAGTCAAAACGTGGGCACCGTGAAAAAAAATTAAGAAAAATAAATATTTTTCGCAATTTTGTAAAAACCAATAATTTTTGAGAGTCGGCAAAGGCGTTTCCACCGCCTTGCCGATGAGTCACACGACGCGTCGCCCTTATCGCAATTTACGATGCGGGTTCTTGGTTGTTCACGACGCCCCAACTCATCTTAGGATCCCGACTGAGAACGAACGCGCGCGCAAAACCGCCACAAAGTCTGAGACACAACTTGGAGCAGAGGCGGCCAACAGCAGCAGAGGTCAAGAAACGAAAACGGTGGGAGAAAATAGCTCGGAAAGTGTACATTCTTGAGACGATAACACATTACTCAAACAGGGCCCGGCTGGGGCGAGCGGCAGGTGTGTGGGGGAGAGAGGCGTTGGAATGGGAGACGACGAGAATGAATGGATAAAATGCGAGGCGAGCGAGGGGGGGGGAGCAATAGCCATACAATCTGATCGTGTTCCGCGAGGACATCCAATACACTGGAGGTGAAAGGAGAAAGACTGCGGAGTGGATGACGATGTGACACCCGGCCAGCCTTCCATTTCCTACACTTTAGATAGTGACTGTACCGGCCGAGCGTGGGCGCAGTGCACCAGAGCATGCTCGCGGATAAGCACGACGCTTCGAAGTACAGCCGAGCCAAAAGTCACACACTCGGTACACTCACTCGGGCTCCGGC